AATAGTACAATTGGTTAGAGGGTTGGTTAGAGGGCTGTAAAACGGCAGCCATCTTCTCCGGCGCTGTTTAGGTCCTAAGTCACGGGACCAACAGACGTGGGACAATAATCGACAAGGACAATGGGGAAACGAGGGCACATATATACACCTACTAATCAGGGGGAATGGGAACCAGGTGTGCGTAATGAGACAAGACAGTCTGGGGTTGGTGGTAATGAACCAGGTCAGTGATGCCTAGAAGGCAGATGACGTAGACCTCCGGAGCTGGTGAACGGAATGAGCAGCAGTACCGAGGGGATCCGTGACAGTGACAAGGTAGGGGTGGTAAAAGACCAAGTCCATATTATGGCAAGAACAGCTCAAATAAGCAAAGAGAAACGACAGTCCATCATTACTTTAAGACATGAAGGTCAGTCAATACGGAACATTTCAAGAACTTTAAAAGTTTCTTCAAGTGCAGTCGCAAAAACCATCAAGCGCTATGATGAAACTTGTTCTCATGAGGACCGCCACAGGAAAGGAAGACCCGAGTTACATCTGATGCAGAGGATAAATTCACTAGAATAACTGCACCTCAGATTGCAGCCCAAATAAATGCTTCACAGAGTTCATTTAACAGACACATCTCAACATCAACTGTTCAGAGGAGACTGCGTGAATCAGGCCTTCATGGTCAAATTGCTGCAAAGAACCCACTACTAAAGGACACCAATAAGAAGAAGAGACTTGCTTGGGCCAAGAAACACGAGCAATGGATATTAGACCGGTGGAAATCCTTTGGTCTGAGGTGCAGCTAACAAGTGCTCAGCATATGTGGGAACTCCTTCAAGACTGTTGGAAAAGCATTCCAGGTGAAGCTGGTTGAGAGAATGCCAAGAGTGTGCAAAGCTGTCATCAATGCAAAGGGTGGCTACTTTGAAGAATCTAAAATCTAAAATATATTTTGATTTGTTAACACTTTTTTGGTTACTACATGATTCCATATGTGTTATTTCATAGTTTTGATGTCTTCACTATTATTCTACAATGTAGAAAATAGTAAAAATAAAGAAAAACCCTTGAATTAGTAATGAGTAGGTGTGTCCAAACTTTTGACTGGTACTGTATATGGAAACTGTTGAGTGCCCAAAATAAGGGGTTACATGTGATCTTTCTTATATCTCTTAGATATAGGACAGACACTTCAGAACAAACTAATTTTTTATTTTTTGGGGGGGACTATCTGTTGTTTCATATAGTGAATCTGTTATTCAATGCGTTGGAATTTGCTAATAGCAGTAAGGCCAAATAAAAATGTTCATCAAATATTTATATATACAAATAAAAGATACTTCAAGGGGTCTTAAAATTGTAAATGAAATAGCTACAGTTGAAGTCGGAAGTTTACATACACCTTTGCCAAATACACTGCTCAAAAAAATAAAGGGAACACTTAAACAACACAATGTAACTCCAAGTCAATCACACTTCTGTGAAATCAAACTGTCCACTTAGGAAGCAACACTGATTGACAATAAATTTCACTTGCTGTTGTGCAAATGGAATAGACAACAGGTGGAAATTATAGGCAATTAGCAAGACACCCCCAATAAAGGACTGGTTTTGCAGGTGGTGACCACAGACCACTTCTCAGTTCCTATGCTTCCTGGCTGGTGTTTTGGTCACTTTTGAATGCTGGCGGTGCTTTCACTCTAGTGGTAGCATGAGATGGAGTCTACAACCCACACAAGTGGCTCAGGTAGTGCAGCTCATCCAGGATGGCACATCAATGCGAGCTGTGGCAAGAAGGTTTGCTGTGTCTGTCAGCGTAGTGTCCAGAGCATGGAGGCGCTACCAGGAGACAGGCCAGTACATCAGGAGACGTGGAGGAGGGTGTAGGAGGGCAACAACCCAGCAGCAGGACTGCTACCTCCGCCTTTGTGCAAGGAGGAGCAGGAGGAGCACTGCCAGTGCCCTGCAAAATGACCTCCAGCAGGCCACAAATGTGCATGTGTCTGCTCAAACGGTCAGAAACAGACTCCATGAGGGTGGTATGAGGGCCCGACGTCCACAGGTGGGGGTTGTGCTTACAGCCCAACACTGTGCAGGACGTTTGGCATTTGCCAGAGAACACCAAGATTGGCAAATTCGCCACTGGCGCCCTGTGCTCTTCACAGATGAAAGCAGGTTCACACTGAGCACGTGACAGACGTGACAGAGTCTGGAGACGCCGTGGAGAATGTTCTGCTGCCTGCAACATCCTCCAGCATGACCGGTTTGGCGGTGGGTCAGTCATGGTTTGGGGTGGCATTTCTTTGGGGGGCCGCACAGCCCTCCATGTGCTCGCCAGAGGTAGCCTGACTGCCATTAGGTACCGAGATGAGATCCTCAGACCCCTTGTGAGACCATATGCTGGTGCGGTTGGCCCTGGGTTCCTCCTAATGGAAGACAATGCTAGACATCATGTGGCTGGAGTGTGTCAGCAGTTCCTGCAAGAGGAAGGCATTGATGCTATGGACTGGCCCGCCCGTTCTCCAGACCTGAATCCAATTGAGCACATCTGGGAGATCATGTCTCGCTCCATCCACCAACGCCACGTTGCACCACAGACTGTCCAGGAGTTGGCGGATGCTTTAGTCCAGGTCTGGGAGGAGGTCCCTCAGGAGACCATCCGCCACCTCATCAGGAGCATGCCCAGGCGTTGTAGGGAGGTCTTACAGGCACATGGAGGCCACACACACTACTGAGCCTCATTTTGACCTGTTTTAAGGACATTACATCAAAGTTGGATCAGCCTGTAGTGTGGTTTTCCACTTTAATTTTGAGGGTGACTCCAAATCCAGACCTCCATGGGTTGATACATTTGATTTCCATTGATAATTTTTGTGTGATTTTGTTGTCAGCACATTCAACTATGTAAAGAAAAAAGTATTTCATAAGATGATTTCATTCATTCAGATCTAGGATGTGTTATTTTAGTGTTCCCTTTATTTTTTTGAGCAGTGTACATTTAAACTCTGTTTTTCACAATTCCTGACATTTAATCCTAGTCAAAATACACTGTCTTAGCTCAGTTATGATCACCACTTTATTTTAAGAATGTAAAATATCAAAATAATAGTAGAGAGAATGATGTATTTAAGCTTTTATTTCTTTCATCACATTCCCAGTGGGTCAGAAGTTTACATACACTCAATTAGTATTTGGTAGCATTGCCTTTAAATTGTTTAACTTGGGTCAAACATTTCGGGTAGCCTTCCACAAGCTTCCCACAATAAGTTGGGTGAATTTAGGCCCATTCCTCCTGACAGAGCTGGTGTAACTGAGTCAGGTTTGTAGGCCTCGTTGCTCGCACACGCTTTTTCAGTTCTGCCCACAAATGTTCTATAGGATTGAGGTCAGGGATTTGTGATGGCCACTCCAATTCCTTGACTTTGTTGTCCTTAAGCCATTTTGCCACAACTTTGGAAGTATGCTTGGGGTCATTGTCCAGTTGCGACCAAGCTTTAACATCCTGACCGATGTCTTGAGATGTTGCTTCAATATATCCACATAATTGTCCTTCCTCATGATGCCATCTATTTTGTGAAGTACACCAGTCCCTCCCGCAGCAAAGAACCCCCACAACATGATGCTGCCATCCCCGTTCTTCACGGTTGGGATGGTGATCTTCGGTTGCAAGCCATCCCCTTTTTCATCCAAACATGACAATGGTCATTATTGCCAAACAGTTCTATTTCTGTTTCATCAGACCAGAGTAAATTTCTCCAAAAAGTATGATCTTTGTCTCCATGTGCAGTTGCAAACCGTAGTCTGGCTTTTTTATGGCGGTTTTGGAGCAGTGGCTTCTTCCTTGCTAAGCGGTCTTTCAGGTTATGTCGATATAGGACTCGTTTTACTGTGGATATAGATACTTTTGTACCTGTTTCCTCCAGCATCTTCACAAGGTCCTTTGCTTCTGTTCTGGGATTGATTTGCAGTTTTCGCACCAAACTATGTTCATCTCTAGGAGACAGAACGCGTCTCCTTCCTGAGCGGTATGACGGCTGCGTGGTCCCATGGTGTTTATACTTGCGTACTATTGTTTGTACAGATGAACGTGGTACCTTCAGGCATTTGGAAATTGCTCCCAAGGATGAACCAGACTTGTCTGAGGTCTTGGCTGATTTTTTAAAAATGTCCCATGATGTCAAGCAAAGAGGCACTGAGTTTGAATGTAGGCCTTGAAATACATCCACAGGTACACCTCCAATTGACTCAAATTATGTCAATTAGCCTATCAGAAGCTTCTAAAGCCATGACATCATTTTCTGGAATTTTCCAAGCTGTTTAAAGGCACAGTCAACTTAGTGTATATAAACTTCTGACCCACTGGAATTGTGATACAGTGAATTATAAGTGAAAAAATCTGTCTGTAAACAATTGTTGGAAAAATTACTTGCACAAAGTAGATGTCCTAAATGACTTGCCAAAAATATTGTTTGTTAACAAGAAATTTGTGGAGTGGTTGAAAAATGAGTTTTAATGACTCCAACCTAAGTGAATGTAAACTTCCGACTTCAACTGTAAATGATCCTTGGTATGACCCCCTTCCTCCGGCTTAGACAGTGCTTAGACTGTAATGGGTTAAACACATTGCCCTTGTTATTGCTGATCTTTTCATATCATCTGCTGCTGTAAAAGATTGTTTGTAATACTTCAATTTGTGAGAGTCAAAATATTTTTCCTTGGCCACAGCCTTAAACAAACAGCCTATTATTTTTGGATGGCTCAGGCCACTGCAGTGGAGCCCAGCGGGGTTACATCTTTATTACTGGGTCAGAGGGAGAGGACTGGAGTGAGGACTGAGATGTATGGAGGGGCCAAGGGGTCAATATTAACCCACTGTTTAAAGGTCCTGTCAGACAAACAGGTCCGTGGTTAGTCACCCATATAACTGCCTCTGTTACAGTATAAAACCACTACGAGGGTTTATAGGGCTTCAATACACAATGCATGACACACTAGACAAGGTATGTAGCATGCTGAAGGAGCCAACATCACAGTGTAGCAACCCCCCTAACCTTGAGGTGTTCCTGTTACGTAAGACACTCCTGGCTGGTATTGTGACATCTTCTACTTCTTGCATCCTCCAGAAAAAAGGTTGTATATTTTAGCGTCTGAGGTGATTATTGTGTAAATGTCAAGTCCTCCCTGACTGAACTGGCCTGTGAAAGGTGAACTTAAAGTTCAGTCAGATTTTTTGGCCCATTCTATAACTTCTTCCCAATGGTTCCTATGACTGAACAAGGCTCGACCTTACCTCATGGGCTCTTTTAATACTTACATTTGATTACTTTCCCTTCAAAGAAAACACTACATAGGCTCCATTATTTTCTGCTAGTAGGTCTTTAAACAAATACAATGAATTCACTCATAGCGTTCTATATTATGATGTAGAGTATGACTAGCTGCTGAGTTGCACTTCCTCTGTAAATGAGGTGGAACAGAGGAGCTAAATAAAGTTGGTTCAAAACCCCCAGTAACAGGCTAATATCCACATGGGTGAAGGAACTCAACTAAACCAGGGACCATGTATGCAAGCAGCGAGTGTGTTCCCTATGTTTGTTTCCAGTGTTTGCCTCAGTCAATTGCCTGTAGCACAGTAGTTGGAGCCCAATTGGCTGCGTTGTGGATAAGCCTAATTGGTAGTGCGATAGAGAAAACAGCTCCAGCCCCATGTCAGGCTTATCGTAGAGGACTGAGAGATGCCAGGAGATTGCAGAAACAAAGTTTTGGGCCGTATTGACAGACGTCTGGCTAGAGACACACAAAGCCCTGCCTGTGTTCCACTGGATGTTTTCAGCGCAGTAGCCCTCTGTTTCTACTGTGTCATTCACCTCACACTAAACCTGCCCACACAACTGTGTTGAGAGAGTTCTACTCTGCCCACTCACACACTCACAGACACACAGATGCTCTCTATCACACACACGCCTGGCAAATGCTTAGAGAGCCATGAAATACAGACTTATTTTTATGCCTTTTGGAGTCAACTAAAACAACGTTTCTGTATGATTTCTTCCACAAATTTTTTTTTTTTTTGCCATTGTCATGTGTATTGACTCAGAGTATGAAGTGGAAAAGATTGAGGCAGGGCAATAGATAATAACAAACATACAGTATATTCCTACTAATCATGTCATGGGTTGTGGGTGTTTTACTGTCTGACATCTGTCACAGTGAACCTCACATGTGTCTTTGTGCGTGGTAACCTCTATGTTGGTGACCTGTCTCGCCCTCAGATGTCAACGAGTGTTTGGACCAATCGGTGTGCACCCACGGTAGGTGTGTCAACTCCGAGGGCTCCTACAGCTGCAACTGTTACCAAGGATACCAGGCCTCTCTGGACAACAGCAGTTGCCAAGGTACTTGTTTGTGAAAACATAAGTCACACATCATTCATTCTTCAGGTTCGGTATTAAAATAACAGTTCTCTGAAGGGGAAATAGTGCTACTGAAGAAGCCTTTGAGGTCCAGGGGGTTTCAATAAATGTTGTTAACAGTGAGGAGGAGCGGTGGTTTAACAAGGTCCTCCTCCATACTGTATTTTCTCCAGATGTGGATGAGTGTCTGCTCCCCGGAGCCTGCCTCCATGGCAGGTGTGTCAATCTGGATGGCTCCCACAGGTGCAGCTGTAACACTGGTTACCAAACCACTCCTGACGGCAGGGCCTGTGAAGGTCTGTAAAATATTAGATGTGTGGAATATGACCCTTCACGGCATACCACTGTTCCCTTTGAGCTCTGAGCTCTCTATGGCTCTTTTAATGCCTCATCATTGTTTTTATTAGATGTTGACGAATGTGCTACACCTGTGTGCCCCGCGGGAATTTGCACCAATACCGAAGGTTCCTACTCATGCAAGAACTGCCGACCTGGATTCCAGCGATCAGCGGATGGACAGAGATGTGAAGGTATGGAACCTGTACAACCTTTAGCGTTTCAGGCAACACACTGAATTATCATCATCTACCATAGACAGATAAAGCATGTCAGACAGCGTGTAGCAACCTACCGTTCATTCTTCATGATAATCTGTATTTTTGTTCCAGATGTGGATGAGTGCTCCAATGCAGACATGTGTCTGGGAGGGGTATGTGCCAACACAGAGGGCTCCTTCACCTGCACCCGCTGTAAAGATGGATACAAGGTGTCCCAGGACAGGCACAGGTGTGAGGGTGAGTCCAGCCAAAGCGTTCCCCAACTGGCACATTCACCCACGCCTTCTGTAAAGGCTTGCCCTTTGCATGTATCAATTGTATAACTGTCTCTGTTATTGTGACATAGGTGTGTCTTAGAACTGTAACGCAATACTTGTATATAGTTTGTTTGCCAATAGTAATTAATGTCTGTGCTGGTCTGATGTCTCCTCCAGATATTGATGAGTGCCAGTCTCGGTCTGTGTGTGCTAACGGGATCTGTCTGAACTCTGAGGGCTCCTACTCCTGCATCACCTGTCCCTCAGGCTACAGCATCTCCCTAGACGGAGAGCTCTGTGAAGGTTTGTCCATTCTCCCTGAAACCACATCTAATGGTCCAACGAAGGAGTGGTGTTTTACTTAATAGTCTGTATTGGTGTATTACAGATATTGATGAGTGTGAGCTGCACACTACGTGCCCCAGGGGAACATGCACCAACACTGAGGGTTCCTTCACCTGCACCACCTGTGGGTCAGGCTATAGAGTGACTGAGGATGGGCTAGAGTGTGAAGGTGAGGCTTTCTTGGACGGATTTCCTGCGTACATGTGAGTTGGTGAATGTACGCCAGAGTTTGTGCATTTGTGTGTGCGTTAGCAGGGCGTGTGTTACCGAATGCTGTATGAGCATGTTAGGTTCTGCCCTCTGCCCTGCATGTGACAGATGTGAGAGAGTGTGCCAGGTAACGCCCCATTGGGTCCTGCGTGAGTCCAGCCAGGCCTGTCTCCCACATCGCCTTTTGTTAACAGCAGGCTCAGGTTGTCTGTAAATGATGTCAGGTGTGACGGCTTGGACCCAAAGCCCCTCTCCTTAGCTAAAGATCCTAAAATACTCCTCCCAGACATCACATCATAACTGGATCCTGCATCCCTCTCCCTCTGGCACCCTCCATCTGATCCGCGTTCAAAAGAAAGAGACATGGGCCTCAAATAAAACACGGTGAAGTCAGCATGTCCCACTGATAGATCAGCTGGCGAGATAGATGTGTTGACAGTGGAATTTTATGCCATATCAATTATAAACTGATCGAAATGATTACATGTGGCATGTAGTCATATTTTCCACCAGGCATGCTATCCTCTGCTACAGTTCAGGTATGTAGTTAACTCTGTCCTGTTGTTCAGATGTGGATGAGTGCTTGGTGGCTAACGTGTGCCCAGGCCAGCTGTGTAGGAACAGTCCCGGTTCCTTCTCCTGCAGGAGCTGTGGAACTGGCTTTACCCTGTCTGAGGATGGCTCCTACTGCCAGGGTAAGACTGTCTAACCTCTGGAACACACTCACACTCACCCCCGCCCTCCTATTCTTCTCCACAAGAGGAACAGTACAGATCCAGTTCTATACGCTAATGTTATTTAATGGAAGGGTGGATTGAGACTAGGAAGAAGATCTCCTTTTTAAAATGTTTTTGCCCTGGGAAAGTCCTGAGAACAAGTCCAAGTCAGACTTTGATTTTAATGGATGTCTTCATGCCAGGGAAAGATTAACGGCTTCATTTTAAATGAAACCAACCACTCCTCAGCTCCTACGCAGCTAGCACACATTGTGGAACTCCTCTGTTGACCCACAGGCAAACCAAAAGCCATTCCATTCACTTAACAATGGCCTTCACTATTTTCCCCATAAGAAATACAATCTGTACCAGAGCAAGGAATTTCCAATGATCACATAACAGAGAGCCATGAGTGTTTGTTGATACAGTAATTATACGCCACCTGTAATAGCTTGCTGTTTTGGAATAGATGCCTGTCCTGCATACTTCTCTCCACCCATTTTAATAAAGCACTGTCAGTGCAAGCTAATAAAGGAGGCTTTGCTTACTGTACGTGCAGACTGACTTCCTTGCATTCAGCCATTAGTCATGTTATCAGGCCAGAGGCAGACTGAGAGACTGTCTCCTTGGGCTAATGGGCTAGATCTGACCTCACTCATTTAGGATGGATGAAGCTATCTATCTATTATCTCTATATCTCTCGAGAGAGAAGAGAGAGAGAGAGAGAGAGAGAGAGAGAGAGAGAAGAGGAGAGGCGAGAGAGAGAGAGAGAGAGAGAGGAGAGAGAGCGAGAGAGCGAGAGCGGAGCTAGAAGAGCAGAGAGAGAGAGATAGATCTCTCTCTCTCTCGCTCTCTCTCTCTCTCTCTCTCTCTCTCCTCTCTCTCTCTCTCTCTCTCTCTCTCCTCTCTCTCTCTCTCTTTCTCTCTCTCCCTCCTCCCTCCCTCCCTCCCTCAGACATAAATGAGTGCCTGTCCCCAGGGGTCTGCCCCATGGGCGTTTGCAGCAACACAGAGGGCTCCTACTCCTGTATGACCTGTGACCTTGGCTTCACGCTGGCGCCCAATGGGCTCTCCTGTGAAGGTACTACTTTTTTACTTGGGACTGAACTCTAATGTCCCTTCACTCATGCTGGAAGTTCTCCTCTTATGCTGATGATTTATTTGTAGTCAGTCACAGCTCTGCATGGTAGACGAACATCATAATAATGGCCGGAACAGATCAAATAATAGTAAAGACATCAAAACTATGAAATAACACATATGGAATCATGTAGTAACCAAAAAAGTGTTAAACAAATCAAAATATATGTTATATTTGAGATTCTTCAAAGTAGACACCCTTTGCCTTGATGACAGCTTTGCACACTCTTGGTATTCTCTCAACCAGCTTCATGAGGAATGCTTTTCCAACAGTCTTGAAGGAGTTCCCACATATGCTGAGCACTTGTTGGCTGCTTTTCCTTCACTGCGGTCCAACTCATCCCAAACCATCTCAATTGGGTTGAGGTCGGGTGATTGTTGATGCCAGGTCATCTGATGCAGCACTCCGTCACTCTCCTTCTTGGTCAACTATGCCTTACACAGCCTGGAGGTGTGTTGGGTAATTGTCCTGTTGAAAAACAAATGATAGTCCCACTGAGCGCAAACCAGTAAGCATTTCACTGTAATGTCTACACCTGTTGTATTCGGCGCATGTGGCAAATCAAATTTGATTTAATTTGAGATGGGATGGCGTATCGCTGCAGAATGCTGTGGTAGCCATGCTGGTTAAGTGTGCCTTGAATTCTAAATAAATCACAGACAGTGTCACCAGCAAAGCACCCCCACCACATCACACCTCCTCCATGCTTCACTGTGGGAGCCACACATGCAGAGATCATCCGTTCACCTACTCTGCGTCTCACAAAGACACGGCGGTTGGAACCAAAAATCTCAGACTCCTCAGACCAAAGGACAGATTTCCACCGGTCTAATGTCCATTGCTCGTGTTTCTTGGCCCAAGCAGGTCTCTTCTTATTGGTGTCCTTTAGTAGTGGTTTCTTTGCAGCAATTCGACCATGAAGGCCTGATTCACGCAGTCTCCTCTGAACAGTTGATGTTGAGATGTGTCTGTTAATTGAACTCTGTGAAGCATTTATTTGGGCTGCAATCTGAGGTGCAGTTAACTCTAATGAACTAATCCTCCGCAGCAGAGGTAACTCTGGGTCTTCCTTTCCTGTGGCGGTCCTCATGAGAGCCAGTTTCATCATAGCGCTTGATCGTTTTTTTGCAACTGCACTTGAAGAAACCTTCAAAGTTCTTGACATTTTCCGGGTTGACTGATCTTCATGTCTTAAAGTAATGATGGACTGTCATTTCTCTTTGCTTATTTGAGCTGCTCTTGCCATAATATGGACTTGGTCTTTTACCAAATAGGGCTATCTTCTGTATACCACCCCTACTTTGTCATAACACAACTGATTGGCTCAAACGCATTAAGAAGGAAATAAATCCACAAATTGACTTTTAACAAGGCACATCTGTTAATTGAAATGCATTCCAGGTGACTACCACATGAAGCTGGTTGAGAGAATGCCAAGAGTGTGCAAAGCTGTCATCAAGGCAAAGGGTGGCTCCTTTGAAGAATCTCAAATATAAAATATATTTTGATTTGTTTAACACGTTTTGGTTCCATATGTGTTATTTCATAGTTTTGATGTCTTCACTATTATTCTACAATGTAGAAAATAGTAAAAAATAAAGAAAAACCCTTGAATGAGTAGGTGTGTCCAAACTTTTGACTGGTACTGTATATTCATGTGGTAGGTTGTGACACTGTGACGAGGTGTGAAAGCAGGAGTCAGGCGCAGGAGGTAAAATACCAGAGTTTAATCCGTTTGCATAAATCAAACGCCCCAAGCGTCAAACAACACTGTACAAGGGAAAACATCCACCTTGGCAAATAACACAGTGAAATGTAGCTCAACCGAGCTACACGCTCTCACAACAATCACTCACAAAGACAAGGGGAACAGAGGGAACACTTGTACACATAATGTCCAGAGGAGGTGGAGGAACCTCCCGTACCTCAGACTCCTGGAGCGGACCAGCTACCACCGGCCTGAGGAGAGACACATGAAACGAGGGGTTAATACGGTAATCAGGGGGGAGTAACAACCTGTATGTCACCTCGTTTATTCTCCTCAGGACTTTAAACGGCCCCACACACCGCGGGCTCAGCTTCCGGCAGGGCAGGCGGAGGGGCAGATTCCGGGTCGAGAGCCAGACCCGATCCCCCGGTACGATCACTGGGGCCTCCCTGCGGTGGCGGTCAGCATTGGCCTTCTGACGACGCACGGCGCACTGGAGGCGAACGTGGGCAGCGTCCCAAGTCTACTCCGCGCGCCGAAACCAGTCATCCACCGCGGGAGCCTCGGTCTGGCTCTGGTGCCACGGTGCCAGGACCGGTTGGTAACCCGAAACACATTGGGAGGGTGTTAGGTTAGTGGAGGAGTGGCGGAGAGAGTTCTGAGCACCGTGGCACCAGAACACCGACCACTCCCCCGGCCGGTCCTGACAGTAGGTCCGCAGGAACCTATCTTGATTCACCCTTTCCACCTGCCCATTGCTCTCGGGGTGAAAACCAGAGGTCAGGCTGACCGAGACCCCAGACGTTCCATGAACGCCTTCCAGACTCTAGACATGAACTGGGGATCTCGGTCGGACACTATATCCTCTGGTACCCCGTAGTGCCGGAAGACGTGAGTAAACAGAGCCTCCACAGTTTGTAGGGCCGTGGGGAGACTGGGCAGAGGAAGGAGGCGGCAGCACTTTGAAAAGCGGTCCACAACGACCAGGATCATGGTGTTACCTTGGGAGGGGGGAAGATCAGTGAGAAAATCTATTGTAGCTTACCCGCTGGGAGGTGCCTAAGTGCCTTACTCTGGGCGCGCACTGAGTATGAGGAAACATACACCCTCACATCCTTAGCCAAGGTAGGCCACCAGTACTTCTCGGTCAGGCAGCGCATTGTACGACCGATACCTGGATGACCAGAAGAGGGTGATGTGTGTGCCCAGTAGATCAGACGATCACGGATAAGCGCAGGCACGTACTGCAGCCCAGCTGGACACTGCGGTGGAGATGGATCTGTGCGTAATGCCTGCGCTATATCTGCGTCCATCGCCCATACTACCGTAGTGTTTTCCACTCATCCCCTTCCCGAATACGCACCAGGTTGTAGGCACTCCTGAGGTCTAATTTGGTGAAAAAACGGGCCCCATGCATTGACTCAATCACTGAAGGAATGAGGGGAAGAGGATAACTAAATCGTACCGTCACATTATTCAGTGGTCGATAATCAATGCACGGGCGTAAACCACCATCTTTCTTCTTCACAAAGAAGAAACTCGAGTAGGCAGGTGAAGTGGAGGGACGTGTATACCCCTGGCACAGGGACTCGGTGACGTATATTTCCATAGCCTCCGTTTCAGCCTGCGACAGGGGATACACATGACTCCTGGGAGGTACAGCGTCTACCCAAAGGTTTATCGCGCAATCCCCCTCCCGATGAGGTGGTAATTTAGTCGCTTGCGTCTTGGAAAACACCAGCGCCAGATCATGGTATTCGGGGGAAATGCGCACGGTGGGGGTACCGTCTGGACTTTCCACCGTGGACGCACCAACGGAAACACCTAGACACCTACCCGGACACTCACACGACCACCCCGTAAGAACCCTCTGCAGCCATGAGAAATTGGGGTTGTGAAGGGCTAACCACGGGATACCCAAGACTACAGGGTAAGCAGGAGACTCAATAATCATAAAGATGATCTGCAAAACATTTGTCTCCTGCGTAATCATGGTGACTGGTACAGTAACTTCCTTAACCTACCCGGACCTTAATGGTCGACTATCTAGTGCTCTGATGGGGAGTGGAATGGTTAGTGGAACCAATGAAATGCCTTGACGGTGTGCAAATGCCCTGTCCATAAAATTCCCAGCTGCGCCTGAATCGACTAGCGCCTTACAGTGGGAACCTACCAAGTGATCTGGAAAGGAGATAGATAAAGTACAGTGCGCCGCAAAGGGCTCTGAACACGTTTGGGTGTTCGTTACCTGGGGTGATGCGTGAGTACCCTGCCTACCGCCTCCAGACCCAAAAGAACGTTGACTGTGACGTGAGGTGGATTGTCCCTTCGTGCCACCAGAGTGGCACTGTCGCTGTCCTCCTGCGCACTCTCGACCGGCGGCTCCCCCTAACAGCTCCATCTGCTCGGGGTCAGAGTCGTCCGGAGTGGGAACGGGCAGACCCCTACTAGGACGTCCTCTGGCTGCTAGCAGATTGTCCAGCCGGATGGCCATGTCCTCCAGTTGGGAGAACGATAGCATGGCATCCCGGCAGGCTAGCTCCCGTCGGATGTCCTCCCTTAGGTGGCACCGGAAATTGTCTATCAGGGCCCGCTCGTTCCACCCGGACCCCGCTGCCAGCGTCCGGAACTCCAGCGCGTAGTCCTGAGCGGTCCTCAGTCACAATCACTCACAAAGACAAGGGGAACAGAGGGAACACTTATACACATACTAATTAGGGGAATGAGCACCAGGTGTGTGTGATTGACAAGACATGACAAGTGGAGTGATGAGAATGGAATCGGCAGTAGCTAGTACTCCGGTGACGACGAACGCCGAAGCCTGCCCAAACCAGGAGGGGGGGCAGCCTTGGCGGAAGTCGTGACAGACACTTTCCTTGAAGTTTTGGCGGCTTTATTTGGAGGACAAACTGAGGACCCACTTGGAATAAGACCCAATGACATCCCAGCTGTGGTGTGAATGTGTCACACTACATTACGTACTGTGTGTGTGTTTCCCCTCCGTGTCCCCTGCCCTGGCAGACATCAACGAGTGTGAGGACCACGGTCTGTGTCTGGGAGGACAGTGCACCAACAGCCCAGGTTCCTACAGCTGCTCCTGTCCCCCGGGCCTGGAGATGGTGGACGGGACATCCTGCAGAGGTACACACACTCACACCCACTCTCTTGGGATGGGGGGGGGGGGGTGATGTCCTCTCCTGTTCAGCTGTGTGTGTATTGATGAACTGTCCTTGATTAACTATCCGATTAGCCTGTCATGTTTGACTCTGTGTGTGCGTGTATTACAGATGTGGATGAGTGTCAGTCTGGGGGGATCTGTGGAGATGGGGACTGTCTAAACACAGAGGGTTCCTACCTCTGCATCTGCCCTGATGGATACACCACAGGCACCACAGATGGAATTGGCTGCCAAGGTGAGAGAGATATACTGCCAGGTTTATAACTAACTACCTACTGGTTTGAATACATTACCACAAATAGCGCAAGCCACAAGCCCCTCTCCTCTCTTGGTGAGGGCAGACAGTTCATGCAGAGGGCAGCTTGTACTCCCTGACCCTGTCTCTCTCAGGGCTGACCCCTCTCCCCCTGCACTCCCCCCTGATCCCCCCTGCTCCTGCTCTGGGGTGCCTGGGTGTCCACTTGTTCCCCAGGCCAGTTAGGCAGCAGTCATCAAACCCAGCCATTGTTTCTAACAGGCCATGGCCAGACATCAACAGTCTCACTGCTCCCCCTCTCTCAGCTCCACTGGACCAGGTTTGATGTCATTCCAGCCGCACCCATTGCCCTGGTCACAACAGAGAGAAAAAAACGCTGCTCCTAATTGTTGGCCAGAGAGCTAGCTAGCCTTTCACTGGAACTTTCTGGAGCATTAGCTGTCAAAATACAGAAGAATGGAACCCTCTGGGTGAATCAATATGAAGGGAACATAACTCAGGCTAAAACGAGGAATGCATATTATTGATTCTGGTATAGTTTACTGCTGAAGGGTATCTAGTGTTAGCATAGCCTGAATGACAAAACATTGGGCAGTACACTGAGCATGTTATCGCTCTAGAGTGATGTGAAGCAGGTAAGCATAGAGCAGGGCCTTTCTCTGCGGGTGGAAGATCCTGGAGGGGGTTGAGGGGCCGAGACCTCTTCCAGCCATACATCTACAGTTTAGTCATTTAGCAGACGCTCTTATCCAAGGGCACATCAACAGATTTTTCACCTAGTCAGCTTGGGGATTCGAACCAACGACTTTTCGGTTACTGGCCCCACGCTCGTAACCGTGAGGCTACCTACCGCCCCATACGTACTCAGCAGGCAAGGCAGCCCCTCCCCAGTGCCCAGTGCTGATGGCTGGGCTCTCCCTTAAGTCCCCTGGGCTGTGGCCATGTACTACAGCACCACAACAGTGAGCAAGGCAGGCCCAACCTGCACACTCCCCTGGCCCTCTGCCACAGCAAATACTGCCCTTTAATTATCCTATAAATCAGAGGCTGGGTATATTTTCATACCGTCTGCCGTTGTGTGTGCAGCGCTGACACAATGAAAGCCAGGCCTCTCTGCCATGGGCCCTGCAGGGAGAGGAGAGGGGGTGCATGGGAAGGAGGGGGTCTGGTGAGCCCAGAGTGGTTGGTGCTCTGGTTGGAACACAGGTGGACTGGCTGGATAGATGGCTGCTTACAGTGCTATGGGCACTGGCACTGTCTGAGACTCAACAGTGGACATAGGACTAATATAAATCACAAAGATTAACTAATCACTAGTCAATCTAGCATAACCTGCCATGCAGCTCTGTTTGAGATAAATCATTGCTATAAATGTTTGTTATTGAATCATATAGTTATTAAACTGGAACATACATTTGGGTGCTTACCAAGGCTGTTCTCAGACAGTTTTGTTCCCTGTATGTGTTTACTATCTACCTTATTTCATTATCAGCCCTTGGCAAAAGAATAGGGGCTTTTCAATCATGTTCTATTTTTGTTGCTTTTCTGCCTTGCCCCCACTTATTATTCTGTCCAAATACCTTGTAAGTTATGTTGTAATGTGGCAATTATCCACCAATCTACATTTAATCAAGCATAAAGCCATCATTATAAATGTTTTACTAGTCGGAGTGAATGTTCCCAGACCAATAGCTAACCCAGCAAACCGGGAACATTCCCAGGACATTATCTAAGATTCCCATTAAGATTTAGTTATGATTTGATCTAACATTAGGATTATAACATCCCAAAAAGATTCAAATAATATTTTTGATAACCAAATCTTGTTTTTCAGTATATAGCCATGGCAGTATGGTCAATCAGGAATTTCATGCTTCCTTTTTAGCCTTCTTAGACATAACTAACCCAGGGATATACTGGCAACTGGGTTATTCACCAACACTTCACCCATCCTCTTTATATGCTGCGTACTTCTGGGCCCATATTTACAAGGTATCCAAGACTATGAGTGCTGCTCTAGGATCACTTTTGTTTTTTAGATCATGAAAAATAAGACAGGGGGGACCATATCAAGCTTCTCAAAGTAGGAATTATATTGGGTGCGGAAAAAAAAGTTAAACAGTACATTTTTACATAATGTTTAAGTCTAAATTCTGCAATTCTGACTGGATTTCTAAATCTAAATGAAATAAAGACATCCTCTCTTCTAGTAGATTATATCTGAGCCTCAATTTCACCTGGTTTTTATTTCTTCAAAAGAACATGGTTAAAGAAAATGCGGCATTGAACCTGCAATCTTCAGATCTGCAGCCAGATCATCAACCCTCGTTTTATAATCATCAGCACGACTGGACAGTTTTTGTGTTATGAGAACATTTGCCGGAACCTAACAAATGTTCTGGGAACTTTCCCAGAACCAATTCTGGTTTGTTGGGAAGGTACATACTTTTTTTCATATTTCCTGTTTGCCAGTACGGTAAAGTGTTCCAAATGGGCAATGTATCTTACTCTCAGACAAACCCTTGACTGCACACATTATTTTTCTTCATGCTAAGAGAGAATGAGATTCTCAGTGGGCGGACTGATTCATATTGTACCAAAGAAGATAATACTTCAAGACTGTCATCAACAAAGAAAACGTAACAATACTTTTCTTTCACACTTTCCTCTCTTCTCGCTTCTCATCTCCATTTGTCTCTTTTTCTCTCGGTCTCACTCTTGCCTCGTCTCTCTCTCTTTCACTCTCTCTCTCCCCCCTCTCCTCCTCCTCTCTCCCTCCAGATGTTGATGAGTGCAGTAAGGATGGCGTGTGCTCCCATGGTCAGTGTCTCAACACGGATGGCTCCTACATCTGCCTGTGTGAGGCTGGCTTCAAGTACTCTGCAGATACAGCCGACTGTGAGGGTAAGAATACTCTACCAACCTCATAACTCCCTCACTCTACCCACAACAAGCCACTGCTTCTGCCCCAGTTGAAACACCCCACTCTCACAACATTTCAGCAGAGTTAATAGAACGTTCTGGTCCATTTAGACCAGAGTTCGCTCCGGTGTTTGACACGTTGCCTATGATTGATTATGTAGCTGTAATCAGTTCGATGTCAGTGGTGACATTCCCTCAGTGAGAGAGTCCAATCCTGGCTCAGAGAATTAACCCATTGTAGGATGGAGGTGTTTCTCCCTCTGGAACGTCTCCCTTTGCTCCTTCACAAGTTTTTCAGTTGCTGTAAAAATATTGTTCTTGGCCATAACGAGTGCCTGCTGCTGAGCACTGAGGACAGCAGCACAACAGGCCTCCTGGCCAGGCCTACTCATGCTGGGGAGCTATTGTGCTGCCTGTGAGGAGTAGGGTGGTGTGTGTGAGTGCATGTGTGTGTGTGCATGCATGTATGACATAAGCACAATTTTATCTCAGGGTTCCTGGCCGGGCCTACTCATGCTGGAGATCCATGCTGCTGTGAGAGGTGGAGGATAGGATTGATGTGTGTATGTGTATGACATTAGAACATCGTCTGTCTCTTTCCACAGATCAGAATGAGTGTAAGGAGTTTGGTAGCTCAGTGTGTGGCACCTGGCGCTGTGAGAACACCATTGGCTCATACCGCTGCTTCATGGGCTGCCAGCCTGGCCTGTACGGAGAGGACAACCCAGACTGTGGTAAGTCAGAGTGGACACACAGGCTCTGTGCTTAGTCAACAGGCAATGTATTTACTTAGTGGAAAGCTGAAGGCACCCGAGTTTCAGCCTCACTGCTCATTTACCTTGGGGTAGGCGAGGACAGGGCAGTTGTCTGAAAGCAGCACTCTGCATTGTCTCGATGACCCTCCAGCCCACCCCCACCATACAGAGATACTGATATCACTTTGGCACGCATACACAAAGAGGTTCATGTGAATCAAATGCTATCAGGTGCACTGGGCCTTCCCGGCCAGGGGAGCATAGAAAAGGAAATGGGCCCTGAAATTGGGCCACTTTAGAAAGGGAGTAGCGGTGTCATCCGAGGCAGTGTTCGAGGCCCGCCTGATAATAGGGCCAGGTCTCATCCTCCAGACAATGGGGCTAATGGAGCCCTATTGGCAGGGGCGAGGGGTGTAACCTGATCCCAGCTGTTCCCCTCTCTAAGTGGGGCAGGGCTGTCGTCTGATGGGACGTACGGTGCACCCCACCCCTCCCGGCCAGCCGCCCACCCCTCAACCTCCTCAGGTCTCTGCGACTGAGACACCCGGTAAGGTGGTCACCTGGTCTGGCCTGGAATGGGTGGAGACGACCGACACTAACATCTGTCCAACAACAACAGAACAGCCCCGTCTCCATGACAACTGAAAACAATTCCGCTTATGTGTTTACTGGCAAGGACAGACCATCAGTCTGTGTATGTGTGTCCATGAGAGATGAACATCATTTTACTATATTCAGAAGAGTGTTGGATTAATGATGGTGCACACCCGTTTTCAAAGCAGGTTGTATAGGCGGTGGCTGGCGCTGTTGTTCGCCTTTGCCGGTAAACTTCTCACTTACCTTAAAACATTATTAAGTCGGTTCTATAAGAGGCATATCTGACATTGAACAAACAGGCCAAGTATTTTCTTATATCAAAATGGCTTCCAAACAGGCAGGGCTAGGACTGAAGGGGAGAGAGTTGTGATAGCATGATCTAGTGGAAAGATCTAGTGAGCCCCAGATGGGGCGTCCTGAGAGAGAGAGAGGGTGTTGAGATGCAGTGAACGTTGAGCAGTCTGTTATATTCTCATCGCCATGACTCTTTATTTGACTCACAGTGGAGAGGAGAGCCTTGCAGAGCGTCAGCACCCTGGCCGATGACAGAGCCTGGCTTGGTGTGGCTCTTTCTCTTCTGAAGACCATGATGTTGTGTGGCTGGATCCCAGTGTGGAGGGGCCTGTTGTGAGAGGTGGCCAGATCCAAAACAGCTGCTCACATCCTCCCCTGTTTTACCATTTAGCATCAACTTGGCCCGTTCCCTGCTCGTATAGGCTCAATTCAATATAGTCTGAATAAGTTGTGTGATGTAAATAGGTGCTGCTGGTAATTGCATTAGGCGCACACAATAGCCATGTTGTTGTGTAACTGTCTCCTCTCACTTACCTAACCACCAACAAGGTTTTTCCACAGCAGCTTGACCATAGAGGTCACACATTGTGGGCCATTACCCATCACACTGTTTAGGCTGAGCCTGTTCAAAGTCAACAGCCCAAGTCCAAGTCAAAATACCCCAGAGCATCGAAACAGCTCCAGCCTCTCTGGTCCAGTCCAGTGGTGCAGCCAGCCATGGCCATCTCTGACCCGCTCTCTCCTCACCTATTTTCTGGTGCCAGCCGCTCCTCCTCTCTTCCAGGCTCCTCAGCATTTTTCAGATCCCACAGCCCAGGCTGAGGGCGCGGGGGCCGGAGGGGAGAAGTTCTGAGTCAACGTACATCCACACAAAGCAGCACAGACGTTGACTCAGAACTTCTCCCCTCCGGCCCCCGCGCCCTCAGCCTGGGCTGTGGGATCTGAGGACCAAGCCCTCTCGCCTCTCTCTCGCCCCTCCACAGCTCAGTATCTCAGCACAATGGCCACTTGTTCCAGGGCATTATGGGAGGTTATGAGAGATGCTGCCGTCACCCCAATAAAGTGTCAGGGGAGGGAGCTCAATTACTCTGAGCCGTTAATGTCTGCTTGTAAAAATCATCAAATATGAGGCCAGACGCTGTAATTTGCCATTTCTCTGAGGGGCGTTGTTGTATTTTTACTCCGATGGGGTGGCGGTTGTCTTTGGCTCTGCTCGCCACACTCATTTTGTGGTCATAATACAAAAGGGGAAAACAGTCTTAAGCTGCAACTACACTCTACCTCCGTCCATTTCAGTTGTTCACTCATCCCTGCTACGACAGCCTATGGAGACACACTGTGGGTACTGCTTGAGAAAAGCAGTGTGTGCTTGTCAATGTGTTTGTGTTGGAAAATTAACATGTATCTAATTTTGATCCTTTGTTTCCAGCTGCAGTTCAGCATTGTGGCTATACATTTTGTGGCATAAAGGGCTGGAAATCGTTGGTGGTCACAATGTCTTCAACCTCCCACACGAATGTATGGAAATGTAATGGGTTTCAAAAGACATTTAGCATGCTGTAGTCCAGATGTAGGGCTATGTTGGGGAATGGGCAGAGTATACACAGGTTATAAAACACAGTTCAATCTTGGAGGTGGCCGGGGTCGGCTGGGGTCGGCTGGGGTCAGGGAATGAAACGACAGATGAAACAGGGAAACACGCTCACTGTAAAATAAATGTCCCTCCTCATCCCTGGCTAATCCTACGCGTCAAATAACCCTGGCCTGCATATGGGTCCAATCAGGCCAGGGGTTGCCCAGGGAACCAGAGTACATAGTGGAGAACTGTGGAGGGTGAGCCAACAGTCAGCTAGATCCACAGGCCCACCATGTGCTCCACATTACAACACGGCACCGAGACTTCCACTTAACCTGCTCACCTGATCTGGCCTGCACCATTACCGGGCCAGGCAGATTCACACTCAGGAAGGGGCTCCTGGGTCAGACCATAAGGGGGGGGGGGGCATGGAAAGACCATTAAAGAAATTTGGCCCCGAAGTTCCTCTTCCTCTCTGGGATGATGGTTTGATAGCATAATTACATTTACATTTTAGTCATTTAGCGACTTAGTAAACATTTTTTTTTATATAAAAAAATAATCATATACAGTACCGGTCCAAAGTTTTAGAACACCTACTCATTCAAAGGTTTTTCTTTATTTTTAATATTTTCTACATTGTAGAATAATAGTAAAGACATTAAAACTATGAAATAACACATATGGAATCATGTAGTAACCAAAAAATTGTTTAACAAATCAAAATAATTTTTTTATTTGAGATTCTTCAAGTAGCCACCTTTTGCCTTGATGACAGCTTTGCACACGCTTTGCATTCTCTCAACCAGCTTCACCTGGAATGATTTTCCAACAGTCTTGAAGGAGTTCCCACATATGCTGAGTACTTGTTGGCTGCTTTTCCTTCACTCTGCGGTCCGACTCATCCCAAACCATCTCAATTTGGTTGAAGTCGGGGGATTGTGGAGGCCAGGTCATCTGCTGCAGCACTCCATCACTCTCCTTCTTGGTAAAATAGCCCTTACATAACCTGGAGGTGTGTTGGGTCATTGTCCTGTTGAAAAACAAATGATAGTCCCACTAAGCCAAAACCAGATCGGATGGCATATCGCTGCCTTGAATTCTAAATAAATCACACAAAGTGTCACTAGCAAAGCACCCCCACACTGTAACACTTCCACCTCCATGCTTTACGGTGGGAAATACATATGCGGAGATCATCCGTTCACCCACACCGCGTCTCACAAAGACACAGTGGTTGGAACCAAAAATCTCCAATTTGGACTGTCCATTGCTTGTGTTTCTTGGCCCAAGCAAGTCTCTTCTTCTTATTGGTGTCCTATAGTAATGGTTTCTTTGCAGCAATTCGACCACGAAGGCCTGATTCACACAGTCTCCTCTAAACAGTTGATGTTGAGATGTGTCTGTTACTTGAACTCTGTGAACCATTTATTTGGGATGCAATTTCTGAGGCTGGTAACTCTAATTAACTTATCCTCTGCAGCAGAGGTAACTCTGGGTCTTCCATTCCTGTGGCGGTCCTCATGAGAGCCAGTTTCATCATAGCGCTTAATGGTTTTTGCGACTGCACTTGAAGAAACTTTCAAAGTTCTTGAAATGTTCCGTATTGACTGACCTTCATGTCTAAAAGTAATGATGGACTGTCGTTTCTCTTTGCTTATTTGAGCTGTTCTTGCCATAATATGGACTTGGTCTTTTAACAAATACAGTTGAAGTCGGAAGTTTACATACACTTAGGTTGGAGTCATTACAACTCATTTTTCAACCATTCCACAAATTTCTTGTTAACAAACTATAGTTTTTGGCAAGTCGGTTAGGACATCTACTTTGTGCATGACACAAGTAATTGTTTACAGACAGATTATTTCACTTATAATTCACTGTATCACAATTCCAGTGGGTCAGAAGTTTACATACACTAAGTTGACTGTGCCTTTAAACAGCTTGGAAAATTCCAGAAAATGATGTCATGGCTTTAAAAGCTTCTGATAGGCTAATTGACATAATTTGAGTCAATTGGAGGTGTACCTGTGGATGTATTTCAAGGCCTACCTTTAAAATCAGTGCCTCTTTGTTTGACATCATGGGAAAATCTAAAGAAATCAGCCAAAAATTGTAGACCTCCACAAGTCTGGTTCATCCTTGGGAGCAATTTCCAAACGCCTGAAGGTACCACGTTCATCTGTACAAACAATAGTACGTAAGTATAAACACCATGGGACCACGCAGCCATCATACCACTCAGGAAGGAGACGTGTTCTGTCTCCTAGAGATGAACGTACTTTGGTGCGAAAAGTGCAAATCAATCCCAGAACAACAGCAAAGGACCTTGTGAAGATGCTGGAGGAAACAGGTACAAAAGTATCTATATCCACAGAGTCCTATATCGATATAACATGAAAGGCTGCTCAGCAAGGAAGAAGCCACTGCTCCAAAACTGCCATAAAAAAGCCTGACTACGGTTTGCAACTGCATATGGGGACAAAGATCGTACTTTTTGGAGAAATGTCCTCTGGTCTGATGAAACAAAAATACAACTGTTTGGCCGTAATTACCATTGTTATGTTTGGAGGAAAAGGGAGGAATTGCAAGCCGAAGAACACCATCCCAACCGTGAAGCACGGGGGTGGCAGCATCATGCTGTGGGGGTGCTTTGCTGCAGGAGGGACTGGTGCACTTCACAAAATAGATGGCATCATGAGGAAATAAAATGATGTGGATATATTGAAGCAACATCTCAAGACATCAGACAGGAAGTTAAAGCTTGGTCGCAAATGGGTCTTCCAAATGGACAATGACCCCAAGCATACTTCCAAAGTTGTGGAAAAATAGCTTAAGGACAACAAAGTCAAGGTATTGGAGTGGCTATCACAAAGCCCTGACCTCAATCCTATAGAAAATGTGTGGGCAGAACTGAAAAAGCGTGTGCGAGCAAGGAGGCCTACAAACCTGACTCAGTTACACCAGCTCTGTCAGGAGGAATGGGCCTAAATTCACCCAACTTATTGTGGGAAGCTTTTGGAAGGCTACCCGAAATGTTTGACCCAAGTTAAACAATTTAAAGGCAATGCTACCAAATACTAATTGAGTGTATGTAAACTTCTGATCCACTGGAAATGTGATGAAAGAAATAAAAGCTGAAATAAATAATTCTCTCTACAATTATTCTGTAATTTCACATTCTTAAAATATAGAGGTGATCATAACAGACCTAAGACAGGGAATTTTTACTAGGATTAATTGTCAGGAATTGTGAAAAACTGAGTTTAAATGTATTTGGCTAAGGTGTATGTAAACTTCCGACTTCAACTGTAGGGTTATAATAATATGGGTTATCTTCTATATACCCTCCCCCTACCTTGTCACAACACAACTGATTGGCTCAAACACGTTAAGAAGGAAATAAATTCCACAAATGTACTTTTAAGAAGGCACACCTGTTAATTAAAATGCATTACAGGTGACTACCTCATGAAGCTGGTTGAGAGAATGCCAAGAGTGTGCAAAGCTGTCATCAAGGCAAAGTGTGGCTATTTGAAGAATCTCAAATATAAAATATATTTTGATTTGTTACTACATGATTCCATATGTGTTATTTCATAGTTTTGATGTCTTCACTATTATTCTACAATGTGGAAAATAGTAAAAATAAAGGAAAACCCTTGAATGAGTAGGTGTTCTAAAAGGTTTGACCAGTAGTGTACGCCGCTACACATATGGAAACAGGAACATTGTTTCCATGTTTCAGATGGATGAAAACTGCGGGTCAGACACAGATTATTTCATGTAGCAGATGAGAGCTTAGATTACCTTCCTGAGAGACCTCCCAGCTGTCTGCTTTACTCACACTGACCATCCAAAACCCCACTTCAGCTTTTCACACATGCAGAAATGTTCTTCGGTGTTACAGTATACACCTCACATTACTATAAGTCTGTAGCAAGTCCTCAAAGTCCACACAGTGCAGAGGGACTATAGCTACTTTAATTTTTTTATCATAAGTGAACATGTTAATGGGGAAACAACTACATGTTTTTGATTATGGCCCCCTCTACTAAGTTTGTAAACACAACGTTTGTATTTTGATGGCTCTTATGTCCCCATGTCAACTTTTGTCTTCATCATGTCAGAGCCATTTGGCTGACATAACTAGTAGCACTATTTTGGACCATCTACGAGATGGCTGGACAGTCAGGTCTCCCAGAATGCACTCGTCTGTAATGTAACTGTACGGCAAGGGCCCAAGCCCTCTCCATCCCTGCTGAATGGGTTGCTTAATGCAGTCATTCTGGCTGACTCTCCTCCTTCCTCAAATGATGCAGCATTTACGAGAGCAAGGAGACAGAATAAAATGCTCCTAGACAATATGTGAATGTCAGTTATTTTTTCCTCAACAAATCTGCTAACTTTATGACTCCTAGGCGCCACTGTATTTCCATTTGATTCCAATTGATGTGTTAGCATGTTTTACAAGACATACAGGGCTACTATATGCCATGAAGTTGATATATACTTTACTATCTACTGTTCCTGTCATTATGTCATGCCCATAACTTTGTGACATACAGTGGCTTGTGAAAGTATTCACCCCCCTTGGCATTTTTCCTATTTTGTTGCCTTACAACCTGGAATTAAAATGGATTTTTTGGGGGTTTGTATCATTTGATTTACACAACATGCCTACCACTTTGAAGATGCAAAATATTTTTTTATTGTGAAACAAACAAGAAATAAGACCCCCCCAAAGTCAATACTTTGTAGAGGCACCTTTTGCAGCAATTACAGCTGAAAATCTCTTGGGGTATGTCTCTATAAGCTTGGCACATCTAGCCACTGGGATTTTTGCCCATTCTTCAAGGCAAAACTGCTCCAGCTCCTTCAAATTGGATGGGTTCCGCTGGTGTTCAGAAATCTTTAAGTCATACCACATATTCTCAATTGGATTGAGGTTTGGGCTTTGACTAGGCCATTCGAAGACATTTAAATGTTTCCCCTTAAACCACTCAAGTGTTGCCTTAGCAGTATGCTTAGGGTCATTGTCCTGCTGGAAGGTGAACCTCCGTCCCAGTCTCAAATCTCTGGAAGACTGAAGCAGGTTTCCCTTAAGAATTTCCCTGTATTTAGCGCCATCCATCATTCCTTCAATTCTGATCAGTTTCCCAGTCCCTGCCGATGAAAAACATCCCTACAGCATGATGCTGCCACCACCATGCTTCATTGTGGGGATGGTGTTCTCGGGGTGATGAGAGGTGTTGGGTTAGCGCCAGACATAGCATTTTCCTTGATGGCCAAAAAGCTCAATTTTAGACTCATCTGACCAGAGTACCTTCTTCCATATGTTTGGGGAGTCTTCCACATGCCTTTTGGCGAACATCAAACATGTTTGCTTATTCTTTAAGCAATGGCTTTTTTCTGGCTACTCTTCCGTAAAGCCCAGCTCTGTGGAGTGTATGGCTTAAAGTGGTCCTATGGACAGATACTCCAATCTCCGCTGTGGAGCTTTGCAGCTCCTTCAGGGTTATCTTTGGTCTCTTTGTTGCCTCTCTGATTAATGCCCTCCTTGGCTGGTCTGTGAGTTTTGGTGGGCGGCCCTCTCTTGGCAGGTTTGTTGTGGTGCGATATTCTTTCAATTTTTTTTATAATGGATTTAATGGTGCTCCGTGGGATGTTCAAAGTGTCAGATATTTTTTTATAACCCAACCCTGATCTGTACTTCTCCACAACTTTGTCCCTGACCTGTTTGGAGAGCTCCTTGGTCTTCATGGTGCCGCTTGCTTGGTGGTGCCCCTTGCTTAGTGGTGTTGCAGACTCTGGGGCCTTTCAGAACAGGTGTATATATACTGAGATCATGTGACAGATCATGTGACACTTAGATTGCACACAGGTGGACTTTATTTAACTAATTATGTGACTTCTGAAGGTAATTGGTTGCAACAGGTCTTATTTAGGGGCTTCATAGCAAAGTGGGTGAAAACATATGAACGCACCACTTTTCCGTGATGTATTTTTTAGAATTTTTTGAAACAAGTTATTTTTTAAATTTCACTTCACCAATTTGGACTATTTTGTGTATGTCCATTACATGAAATCCAAATAAAAATCAATTTAAATTACAGGTTGTAATGCACCAAAATAGGAAAAACGCCAAGGGGGATGAATACTTTTGCAAGGCACTGTATAGAGAAAGTAATACAGCACCAGATACTCCTCCACTTCCCCACTACTCTAAATGTTCTGTAAAAGATTAGCTTTCGCTGATTCAGCCGTTTTGATTCTAATTAGAAAACAACACACATAGCATGGGGTCTCTAACAAAGGAGAACTTGGCAAACTTCCCTCAAATTCCGCAACAAAGGTGCCCTTCCAAAAAAACAAGAGAACGCTGCTGAATGTGGCTTTTGTGTGCATTTTACTTTTTTGTGATCTCTAGGGGAATCACATGTGATAACATAAGCGATGTAGAAACATAATAATGATTGTTTGTGTGTCACAGGACCTGGTGACTTGGAACGTGGTCAGTCCACAAGCAGTGATTGACCAGGGAACAACCGTAGATGACTAAAGTGTGATCAAACCATATGTTTGTTTTTTAAACAATTATAATCAGCCTGGCCTCTCTAACATGATCTGTCTTTGGCCTCTGCACCATCCACCGTACTCCAATAAATACTAAATTATGTATGTAAGAAATTGCTAACAAATGTTCCCTTTAAACAGAGGGTGGTTGGGAATCAGCACTAGTGTTATATGGTTCAGTGTTAACCATCTCTAAGGTCTATGCTTTCCCTCTCATCACACATCCAAATGTACACAAGGTTTTTCCCCTGACTTCATTAAACATGCTTTATGATATACGGCTCTTTATGCGAGCGGCTGCACACGGTTGCCAGGTATCGGCCTCTCCCTCCTTTTAAACCAAAACATCTTCTGAATGAGTCCAGATCAGCCCTCCTGCTTACATTTGTTGCATGCGACACATTTTTGGAATTACGATAGGTTCACCGATTAAAATAGGGAACAATGCAGACCAGTCAGAGTTGTTGAACGAAATGTACATTCTTTCAAGCCAAATGAAAATCCTTTCCTAGCCATTTTGACAAAATATCTCTGAAGTGGCTTATGTGGATGTGTAAACCAGTCAGTCCCATGTTGTTACATAATCCCAGACCTCACTGGCCCAGTAAGTGGGCGACAAGAACTTCTCACTCCATAGACCCCAGCAAGGTTCAAGTTTTATTAATCGTACTGTATGTACAGGATACACATCACAGGAGGTTGGTGGCACCTTCATTGGGGAGGACGGGCTCATGGTAATGGCTGGAGCGGAATAGGTGGAATGGTATCAAATACATCAAACACATTAGCTCAGTTCCAGACATTATTATGAGCCGTCCTCCCCTCAACAGCCTCCACTGATACATATGGTATACACTGTCCAACAAAATGCTTACTTGCAAATTCCTTCTTGACAATGCAACAACAATAAGAAATAATAAAATATAAAAAATAAGACAATGTAGTAAATGGCTCAGCAGAATATAATAGACATTGTAGCATAAGTATAATACAGGAAGGCACAAGTTATAGTCCAATATTTACACATGTATCAGGGAAGGGGGAATTGGGGCGGCAAGTATTACAATTGTGCAGTATTAGCAATAGTAAATAAGAGTCTGGTAGCAGCAGTTGTGATGTGTGTGGAGCATGACAATATATATGTGTGTGTGTGTTTTTTGTATGTGTGTGTGTGTGTGTGTGTGTGTGTGTGTGTCAGAGGAACCCTTAGAGGAGAGGAACCCTTAGAGGAGAGGAACCCTTAGAGCAGAGGAACCCTTAGAGGAGAGGAACCCTTAGAGCAGAGGAACCCTTAGAGCAGAGGAACCCTTAGAGGAGAGGAACCCTTAGAGGAGAGGAACCCTTAGAGGAGAGGAACCTTTAGAGCAAAGGAACCCTTAGAGCAGAGGAACCTTTAGAGCAGAGGAACCTTTAGAGCAAAGGAACCCTTAGAGCAGAGGAACCCTTAGAGCAGAGGAACCTTTAGAGCGAGAGGCAGCCCTTACAGACCTTTCACTGGGTTCATTGGTAGCCATCGGGGTCAGCAGAATGGATTCCATCAAATGATCTATGTCCCCACGAAGCTGTAAACTGTCCCATTCTCTCCCTGTATTAATTTTCTCTGTTTGACATGTAATGATGATGGCGATTGCTAATGTTATTCTAAGTCGTAGCAGTAGGATTATTTCTTAAAGTGTTGCAACACACGGTCATTTGCAAGCCAGTCGTGAAATGGTACAGTTATACATGCGTAGCAGAGAAACATTAGAATGCATTATGTTATGCTCACCTTTGGGTGCTCTCTTGTTTAGATATCGATGAGTGTGTGAATGAGACAATCTGTGGGGACCATGGTTTCTGTGAGAACACAGACGGCTCCTACCGTTGTCAGTGTGACCGGGGCTACACCAACCCCCCTGGTGATGCTGGTGCCCATAGCTGTGTGGGTAAGTAACTGTTGAATTATACATTCCACTGGTTAGCATGGTCAGTTACTGTATACCAATGTGTAGTATGTACTGTATTGTATATGTGGGAATGTGTGTGTGTGTGTGTTTGTTTGTAAGCACACTCGTGCCTGTCGTTGTGCATGTGTACGTGCTGTGCATCGGTGTGTGTGAACCTCGGTGTGTATTTACCCCCCCTCCCATCCTGTGCAGACGTGAACGAGTGTGAGATGAGCACGGCACTGTGTGGAGAGGCCCTGTGTGAGAACGTGGACGGCAGCTTCCTGTGTATCTGCCCCAGCGACAATGAGGAATTTGATCCCATCACCAGCCAGTGCCGCCCGCAGGGTAACACACCACACACAGGGACTTATGGGACTTAAGGGTTCATTCTATCTATGCGGGATTGAGTTTTCACTGTCTTAATGAGGCATCTCATATTATCATAACATCTGTGGAACTAGCAGGGCACGAGTGGTTCCATGTTCCCTATAGTACTTGTTTCTATTTGACAACCTTTCTGCTGAGTTTGACTCCATGCTAATTGGATGGGGGGAAAGTTATGTTGTATCCCTACTAGGATACTGCATTGCAGTTCAAGTCTGTAAAGAACGAATTGCAGGAAACTATTCCAGCCATCCCTTACATAATTGATTTGCTGTGCTCAGAGCACAACTCATTTCAAGCTCTCCCTCATGGCCAAATCTCCTCCAGTCAAATTCCCACAAAGACAAACAAGGATAAGGTATAGCTATTGGCAAAACTGCCATGGAAAGATCTCTCTCAGAAACACTAACAGTGTTCACTGTAAACAGATTACTGAAATACAAGGTCAAGCTTACCTTGAGTCTGTGGAATTGGCATGTCTTTAGCTTGTCATAGGCATGTATACACAAGCGGGCCATATTTACATTAATAAGCAGCATGCTCTCGACGGGGATGTTTTTGTTCTCGTTCGGTATTAAACCCCAAGTATGCCTTGTGTACTTTGACCACATTCCGCTGTTTGCTTTTGACGTGTGCTAATCAATCATGTGAGAATGAATGGTGTGTTGACTCACATGCCAGTGTTTCCATTTGGTTAAGCCTGCTGCTTAACTGTGAATGGCTGAGACCATGTCTGTGGATAAAAGAGCAGCCTCAGCATTGTCAGCTGAAGGTACTCAGGCCTACTGCCTGCCCTACTGTATGATGTGGATCTCTTGACCCAGGGAAACACAGTGGCACTCATTATGCTAGACATGGGGCCAATGGACTGACTGATTCTTACTGAAATCATGATGGCGATAAATATTATTCATAGTGGTAATGGCTATAGTCTTTATTGTAGTAATTCAGCCATGAAAGTAGCAGTCAACTAGAGTCACAATTTATTCTGCAAATCCCCTCCAATTATTCTCCTCTGCATCTATTTCTCCTCATGAGAGGTGTGATTTCCCTACATGTGCTACAGGTGAAGATGCTCCTCCTAAGCCAGCCTCACACACTGAGGAGCTGAGGAAGGAGTGTTACTACAACCTGAACGATGCGAACTTCTGTGACAACGTGCTGTCTCGCAACACCACCAAGCAGGAGTGCTGCTGCACGGTGGGGGCTGGCTGGGGGGATGACTGTGAGATCCATCCCTGCCCTGTACCAGGGAGAGGTAAGCTTACTACAGTATGATTTGAGACTGAGTGAGATTCCCAAGAGGGATCAAATGATCACCCTTTAGGAGACATATATTCAGATACAACTGTTCACATATGTTCACTCCTTTTTGCTACACGGTATATAATACATTATTACAGTAAGGAGAAAGTATGTTTGTGCATTCATACTTGTTTGTTTCTTCAGAGGAGTATGACCAGTTGTGTCCACATGGAAGTGGTCTTCTGCCCCAAGCTGTTTCCTCCCAGAGCCTGGAACAGCAGAGTTTCAAAGGTACCTTACTTCTATGTGGTCTCCTCAAGCCACTGGCTACTGTTAAGAGTCAGTATACCTGAGGTTTCACAGTTTTTCCTTCTCCCATAACTTTGTACCAACACAAAGAAAATTGCTGTTTCAGCTCCCTTTTAATTACACCCATGGAAGCCGTTAAAAAAAGTCCTGCGTAATTTCCAACCTAATTTATGGTTCTCTTTAAAGCTAGCCCTTTACACCGTGACTGGATATCTGCATAACTAGCTAATTAAGCACAAGTGTTGTGCACTAACCAGCTTGTTCTAATAGAGAAGGCTGTCTCAAGCAAGGTGCCATGCTCATTTTACAGTAGGGGTCATGATTTGAGGGGTCTAGCTAGCTACAACAAATGCTAACGTTTTAGTGAGATTCTATAGACACAGTAGGCCTACACAAAGTTTAGGCCGATTCTAGAGATGATATATTAAAGAAAAGGTGATTTTTGTGTATGGTAGTATGTGAATTTATCAACCGATGTCACCCCCTTTCTTTCTTTCTTTCTTTCTTTCTTTCTTTCTTTCTTTCTTTCTTTCTTTCTTTCTTTCTTTCTTTCTTTCTTTCTTTCTTTCTTTCTTTCTTTCTTTCTTTCTTTCTTTCTTTCTTTCTTTCTTTCTTTCTTTCTCTCTCTCTCTCTCTCTCTCTCTCTCTCTCCTCTCTCTCACCAGATGTGGACGAGTGTACGATGTTTGGGCCAGATATCTGTAAGAATGGCCGTTGCTCCAACAACTTCTCCTCGTACTCCTGCTTCTGCCGTACAGGCTTCTACTATGACAACATCCGGCTGGAGTGTTTGGGTAAGGGCCGCTCGCTCTCTCTCTCCTTTTCTCTGTTCCACCAAACCTGCTCCAAAACTCGACTATGAGACTCAGTCGTTGACTTATGTGTGTGTGTGTGTTCCAGATTATGACGAGTGCCTGACAGAGAAGGCGTGTGTGGATGGGGTGTGTGTCAATACCCCTGGTTCTTTCAACTGCTTCTGTAGTCCCCCTCTGGTCCTGGACACCACCGGCCGCCGCTGCATCAGTGTCAACACCACCGAGGGTGAGGCTCAAACACTCACACTCACAGCAGCAGCACACTCCTACAGACACTGATAAACTACATCCTCCATTTCAGAGTTTATCCAGATGAAACAGTTACCAACCAGATTATTGATTCAGCTGTCCAACATTAACAACATATAATTAGTGAAAACTCCCTCCTTTCCTCTTTTGTGAATCACTCTCTTCCCTTCTTCCATTCTCCTTCCTTCCCTCTCTCCTCCCTTCCCTGAACCACAGAGGCTCAAGAGCCTGATGAGGACATCCACCTGGACATCTGCTGGCAGGGCCTGGTAGATGAGGTTATGTGTGCCCAGCCCCTCATTGGCAGGAGGACCACCTACACAGAGTGCTGCTGTCTCTATGGAGTGGCCTGGAGCGAACAGTGTGCCTTCTGCCCCAGGAGGGACTCTGGTAAGGGACACAGCTAGCTGTCATTCATGCTGTTATTATTCTGTTGAAATGTAGAAGTGACATGATGACCTGTGATAGATATCTCACTAAAACACTGACCTGTGTGTTTGTTTGTGTTTGAGCAGATGACTACGCAGCAATGTGTAACCTGCCAAGGAGACGGGGGTCTGACAGTCTACGAGAGAGGCCAGGCTATGAGTACGGTCCTGGGGTTGAGGGTCCTGAGGGGCCCTATGTCCCACCCTACTGGGACAACTATGGAGGAGGGCCCATCACTGGGCCTGGGGGAACCTACTACAACCCAGATGACACCCAGGGCATCCCCCTGTTCACAGACAACACCAACGACTATGGCTCACGAGAGAGAGACATAGAGCCGCCACTACGCGTCCCCATCCACAGGCCAAGAGAGTTCCAGCCTCGCCCTGTAGACTCTTACAATGGTAACCTCGTTAGAATCATTAAAAATACACATTTATTAATATTATTGCTAATGCATGGTGAAATGCTACCTCTGTAGGGACTCCTTCTTCATTCATATTCTGTTTCCAATCAGACCGCTATGATGGCTTCGAAGGCCTGCGAGCAGAGGAGTGTGGCATCCTGAACGGCTGTGAGAATGGCCGGTGTGTGCGCGTGAGGGAAGGTTACACCTGTGACTGCTTTGATGGATACGAGCTTGACCTAACCAAAATGGCCTGCATCGGTAGGTTCCTCTCCCAGTGTCTCAGAATGTCCACCAACAGTCGGAGTCAGATTCTCCTCTCTGTGTTCCAAGCAGATATATCATTTCATTTTGGAATTCCTAGAAACAAATTAGTCAATTTAGAGAACCGTTTGATCTGTTCCATTTTCCCACATTTCAAAATGATGCATGGTGTGGGGCTAAGATCAATCCCTACTTCAGAATTAAGAAGCCTCCCCTAGGTTTATGCCTTTTGGAGACAGGTCTTGGGGTTCTCTTTAGTGATGTAACTCACCATGCAATATCACACAGAGTTTGGCTGCAGAGAAATGACAATCAAACCTCCCATGTCAGATTTAAGCAATAAGGCCCGAGGGGGTATGATATATGGCCAATATACCACTGCTAAGGGCTGTTCTTAGGCTGTTCTTAGGCAAATCAGCATTCAGGGCTCGAAACACCAAGTTTATAATAGGAATAATAAACTGGGTGGTTTGAGTCCTGAATTCTGATTGGCTAACAGCCGTGGTATACGGGTATGACAAAACATTTAGTTTTACTGCTCTAATTTCGTTGGTAACCAGTTAATAATAGCAATAAGGATCCTCGGGGGTTTGTGATATATGGCCAATATACCACGGCTAAGGGCTGTGTCCAGGCACTCTGCGTCGCGTCGTGGATAAGAACAGCCCTTAGCCGTGGTATATTGGCCATATACCACACCTCCTCTGGCTTTATTGCTTAAATAGAAACCAATTGAAGGCCAACAATGAAAGGACATTTTGCTGCTGCCTTCCAGATAATATTGAGAATCAGATAATACTAGAATCTGAAGTCAAATGTCTACTGTTTGCTGATGATCTGGTGCTTCTGTCCCCAACCAAGGAGGGCCTACAGCAGCACATAGATCTTCTGCACATATTCTGTCCGAGCTGGGCCCTGACAGTAAATCTCAGTAAGACAAAAATAATGGTGTTCCAAAAAAGGTCCAGTTGCCAGGACCACAAATACAAATTACATCTAGACACCGTTGCCCTAGAGCACACAAAAAACTAAACATACCTCGGCCTAAACATCAGCACCACCGGTAACTTCCACAAAGCTGTGAACGATCTGAGAGACAAGGCAAGAAGGGCCTTCTATGCCATCAAAAGGAACATAAAATTCGACATACCAATTAGGATCTGGCTAAAAATACTTGCCCTTTATGGTTGTCAGGTCTGGGGTCCGCTCACCACCCAAGAATTCACAAAATGCGACAAACACCAAATTGAGATTGCATGAAGATTTCTGCAAAAATATCCTCAGTGTACAACGAAAACACCAAATAATGCTTGCAGAGCAGAATTTGGCCGATACCAGCTAATTATCAAAATCCAGAAAAGAGCCGTTCAATTCTACAACCACCTAAAAGGAAGCGATTCCCAAACCTTCCATAACAAAGCCATCACCTACAGAGAGATGAGCCTGGAGAAGAGTCCCCTAAGCAAGCTGGTCCTGGGGCTCTGTTCACAAACACAAACAGACCCCACAGAGCCCAAGGACAGCAACACAATTAGACCCCACCAAATCATGAGGAAAAAAAAGATAATTACTTGACACATTGGAAAGAATTCACAAATAAACAGAGCAAACTAGAATGTTATTGGAGAACAATTGGAGGGTTACTTACAGTGCCTTGCAAAAGTATTCATCCCCCTTGGCGTTTTTCTTATTTTGTTGCATTACAACCTGTAATTTAAATTTAATTTTATTTGGATTTCATGTAATGTACATACACAAAATAGTCCAAATTGGTGAAGTGAAATGAAAAAAATAACTTGTTTCAAAAAATTCTAAAAACTAAATAATGGAAAAGTGGTGCGTGCATATGTATTCACCCCCTTTGCTATGAATCCCCTAAATAAGATCTGGTGCAACCAATTACCTTCAGAAGTCACATAATTAGTTAAATAAAGTCCACATGTGTGCAGTCTAAGTGTCACATGATCTGTCACATGATCTCAGTATATATACACCTGTTCTGAAAGGCCCCAGAGTCTGCAACACAACTAAGCAAGGGGCACCACCAAGCAAGCGGCACCATGAAGACCAAGGAGCTCTCCATACAAGTACAGATCAGGGTTGGGTTATAAAAAAATATCTGAAACTTTGAACATCCCACGGAGCACCATTAAATCCATTATTAAAAGATGGAAAGAATATGGCACCACAACAAACCTGCCAAGAGAGGGCCGCCCACCAAAACTCACGGAACAGGCGAGGAGGGCATTAATCAGAGAGGCAACAAAGAGACCAAAGATAACCCTAAAGGAGCTGCAAAGCTCCACAGCGGAGATTGGAGTATCTGTCCATAGTACCACTTTAAGCCGTACACTCCATAGAGCTGGGCTTTACAGAAGAGTGGCCAGAAAAAAGTAATTGCTTCAAGAAATAAATAAGCCATGTGGGAGAATCCCCAAACATATGGAAGAAGGTACTCGGGTCAGATGAGACTAAAATTGAGCTTTTTGGCCATCAAGGAAAACACTATGTCTGGCGCAAACCCAACACCTCTAATCACCCCGAGAACACCATCCCATAAAAAGCCATATCTCAGACTGCCCATCTTAATCTTTTCTTTTTATTGGCCAGTCTGAGATATGGCTTTTTCTTTGCAACTCTGCCTAGAAGGTCAGCATCCCAGAGTCGCCTCTTCACTGTTGACGTTGAGACTGGTGTTTTGTGGGTACTATTTAATGAAGCTGCCAGTTGAGGACCTGTGAGGCGTCTGTTTCTCAAACTAGACAGTGTAATGTTTTTGTCCTTTTGCTCAGTTGTGCACCGGGGCCTCCCACTCCTCTTTCTATTCTGATTAGAGCCAGTTTGCGCAGTTCTGTGAAGGGAGTAGTACACAGCGTTGTACGAGATCTTCAGTTTCTTGGCAATTTCTCGCATGGAATAGCCTTCATTTCTCAGAACAAGAATAGACTAACGAGTTTCAGAAGAAAGTTATTTGTTTCTGGCCATTTTGAGCCTGTAATTGAACCCACAATTGCTGATGCTCCAGATACTCAACTAGTCTCAAGAAGGCCAGTTTTATTGCTTCTTTAATCAGCACAACAGTTTTCAGCTGTGCTAACATAATTGCAAAATGGTTTTCTAATGATCAATTAGCCTTTTAAAATGATAAACTTGGATTAGCAAACACAACGTGTCATTGGAACACAGGACTGATGGTTGCTGATAATGGGCCTCTGTACGCCTATGTAGATATTCCATTAAAAATCAGCCATTTCCAGCTACAATAGCCATTTACAACATTAACAATGTCTACACTGTATTTCTGATCAATTTTGATGTTATTTTAATGGACAAAAAAATTGCTTTTCTTTCAAAAACAAGGAATTTTCTAAGTGACCCCAAACTTTTGAACGGTCATGTATATATATATATATATATATATATATTTGCGAGAAAAAAAAACATATGGGGGATTGGAAGTGATGCAGACAATTACATTATCTATTTCACTTGCTTTGGCAATGTAAACATATGTTTCCCATGCCAATAAAGCTCCTTAAATGGAATTGAATTGAGAGAGAGAGAGAGAGAGAGAGAGAGAGAGAGAGAGAGAGAGAGAGAGAGAGAGAGAGAGAGAGAGAGAGAGAGAGAGAGAGAGAGAGAGAGAGATATGAAAGCAGTTTTGAGAGTCGTGCATCCCTCTAGCCCCCACTGTTGCCGGACAACTACTGCAGCTGACTGTGGAGCCATCCTACCACCCACACTGACCAGGCCACTATGTGGGACTTCTGACACAGGACATGTGGCATGAACAGCTGCATTTGCTGTGAAATTGGTCTCCTCAGTTAACTCTGCGTGTCTCCTTTTCCTGCAGACATAAACGAGTGTGAGGACATCAGTGACAATGTGGCACTGTGTAAGAACGGGGCCTGTACCAACACTGAGGGGTCGTACAAGTGCACCTGCCTGCCCGGCTTCCAGGCCTCCGCCAAGCCCCATGAATGCATCCCAGAGGTCCCAGTGTCTGGCTTTAGAGAGAGAGTGGCAGGAAACTGAGGGTGTGACTGTTGGAGCTTCTTCTCTCCTCCCTCCACCACCCCACACCCTTACCCTCATCCCCTGCCCTCTCACAGGGCCTGGCACTAAACCTCCATCAAGAACACTGAAACGTCCACACTTGTCCCCTAAACACACACAAACACACCTACACACATACTCTTACTGACTCTTTCATATTTTCTCTCTACCACACACATACTCGTTCACATTTCCACAGGGGACCAGGAGCTGTCCAGTGAATGTATTCCATGGGATATCCTATTTCTTAACATTTGCATTTTGCCTTAAAGGGATTTTCTGAGGAGTGACCTTTTATTCAGTCATCCCAGGCAGTTTGGTATGCATACATATTTTCTGCATTGTTTTTCTCCATTTGTCTTTTTGGTTGATTATTTATTTCATGTACATGACAAGGCTCTGCAAAGTAAGAATGAAAACCATTTCAGAGGGTATAGGATTTATATTGTCTTATTTGTCAGACCAATATACTTTACTAATGATGAGGGGAAACAGTGTGAATAGTTTTTGAAGTTTGGTAACTAAGCCTGGAGGAAGCATATTGTCGTAAGCATGCCACATGTTATATTCATATTATAACATAATAATCACATTGCTATACAGAGAAAGTTACTTTCAAACCACTTTTTACTAGTATTTGGGATGCTTCTGTGGTCAGCAAGGACTTTACAAGGACCAACCATCCCTTCCACTGGTCTTCTGTGTTTCTCATGACAGTGCAATCCTACAGTCCTCATCCTCGAAGATAAAGAGGCTCCTCTGTTGGCAAGGTTGTCTCAAGCAATAACTAGGATCAAACAAGGTCCAGACCAGATTAATATGCTATCACAATGTTGCTTTGACCTGTTGCCAGTACAATGAGAGAGAGAGAGAGAGAGAGAGAGAGAGAGAGGAGAGAGAGAGAGAGAGAGAGAGAGAGAGAGAGAGAGAGAGAGAGAGAGAGAGAGAGAGAGAGAGAGAGAGAGGGGAGAGAGAGAGAGAGAGAGAGAGAGAGAGAGAGAGAGAGAGAGGGAAATAAATAATTGAATATGGGCTTGGAAAGGCTATAAATGTATATGATTAAATATGTAATATGTTTGTATAGGTTCCACTAGCCTTCTCCCACTAGTCAAGAGAGTAGTTAAGCACACATTATGTCCCGTGGCTAATTATTTATGTTTACATTCAACCACATTCACATTCACAATTGACTTCCCATAAATGCATCTCTGAATGTGAGTAAAAGCTTTGTTGAAGAGGTTTAGGATATTTTGTACAGATCTAGTACTATGTATTAATGTTTTTGTTACATTCTAATAATGCATATAGTGCAGCCAATATTTTTGTTTGACAAAAGAAAATAAAAAATGAAAAAAAATCCAGCATTACAGCTTAGCCATGTAGATTTATATATTTCTGTAAAATTGTTTTTAAACATATCTTTATGTATGAGAAAAGTGGTTTACACTGTACCAGAGAAAGTGTATGTATCCTGCCCTGTGGAGCAGACATTGAAATGTAATGTTGGGGAATGGCAGTACTATTTTCAACACAATGTGGTGCCATTGATCCAACAAGTACAATACAAAGAACAATGCCTTTTGAAATGCAAGCAATATCATTTGTGCCATTAAAACTCAACCTTTTTTGCCTTTCAAATAATGTTACTGGGAACAGTATGTCATTCTAGTGACCTTTTTTTAATCAATATAGTGAACACTATTCAGCATTTCTAATCAAATAAACATTGTTGTCCTTTCGCATTCAACTCTAGAAACATACAATTGCTGATTGGTCATGTTTTTAAATTTTCCATTTACAGATGCCTATCTTGCCAGCACCTATTTTACACATATTTGGAGGATGCCTTCTTTCAATGACTGATGCCCTTGACCTGCATTCAAAGAGATGTTCACTGTACTCTTTATCAGTCTATCTATACTGTATGATTCATCCCTCCACAAGTCTTACATTGAGGTAAAACAAATAGTGAACATGTATTTGATATTATTTAAAGCTTTGTAAACCACAAGTTGTGGTGTAGGATGTGATGTATGCTGTGGTCTATGAAAATGTAATGTTCATTCCTTTTGTTTACCTCTTGAGTGTAGTCACTATCTGTCATCAAAATAAACTTTTTAAATATCTATATTTATTTGTCTCCCTTATCTGTGGAATATTCTACACACTACACAATACTACATTTCACCACTATACAATAATTTCCTAATTTCTAAACCATATGTGTATAATGCAAATATACTTTCAGCTCAAATGGAGCACTCACATGAGTATGGAGGGTGATCAGTGCCAGTTCGAGAAAGCAATGCTTAAATGCTCAATTGAAATGCGAAAATGATAAATGCATTTATATGTTCATATCAGTGCGCATGATTCATGCCACAGTGAAATTGCTATGTTAAAATGAAAATCGAACATGGCTAATTGAACATTGGAAACGGTAAACGGAAATTATAAATGAAAATGGTAAACAGAAAATGACAAAGGGTTTACAGAAAATGGTAAATGCAATGTGCAAAGTGAAATCGAAAGTGGTTGTTTACATTTTCCAACTGCCCAATTTAGCATTTTCTCTTCTCATTTTCAAAGTGTATGCAAGTTGCTTCCTGGAGGCGTGAACCAGTAGAGCAACACAACACCACCATGCAGTGATACATCCTAGCTATGTCACGCTCTCTGCATTAATTTTAGACTAGTGTAACTGACAGGGTTCGAACCTGGTGTCCTGTACACCAGAAGAACAGCTTAGCCTGCTAAGCCAAAGCCTAGGAAATGTAGCTTGGGGAGCCAATGCAATTTTTTTGGTCTCAGCAAAGTTACTCAACACTAGGCAAAGTTATTCATCACATGTGCGTGGTCACCAAACCACTTCTCATTGGTTAGTTCTTCTCATGATGAGTAACCTTGTCTGATACATCAAGAGTTGCATTGGCTCCCAGAGTCAATGCCTAGGCTGCAGCTTAGCAGGCCTATGCTTTTCTGGTGTGCAGGAGACATGGGTTAGTTACACTAGTCTAAAATCAATGTACAAAGAGCCCGACATGGCTAGGATGTACCACTATATGGGGATGTGGTGTTGCTCTCCTGGTTCATGCCTCCAAGAAGCAATGTGCATACACTTTGAACATTCAAATGCAAATAGAAAATAGAAAATGCTTAATTGGGTAGTTGGAAAATGAAAGCAGCCACTTTCAATTTCACTTTGCACATAGCATTTTACAATTTTCTGTTTACATTTTGGCTTTTTCCGTTGACCATATACACATTTTATTTCGAATTTTTCTATTTTCATTTTAACTTTGCAATTTATTGTGGAATGAATCATGCACACTGAGATGAAAATAAAAAGGTATTTATCATTTTCACATTCCTATTTAGCATTTAAGCATTACATTTTCGAACTGGCACGCTGCATACTCGTGAGGATTTTATGTGTTGTGAGTATCTGGGTGGTGTGCGAGCCTGTGATTTATTGTGCTCTCACGCCACCCAGTGGCCGTAATGTCTATGGGTACAGCACAACCACACTGTGGAAGGCGTTTCCCACAGTTCCCAGCCTTGTCCAGAATTTCAGTTGTATACTGGGAAATTGTGTCCATACCTGTCCGTACAGCCCTATCATGCTTTCATGGAGGATAGAAAAGCATACAGATCCCAGAAACCACGCAATGTGCGTGGCTAAAATTGGAGTGTTGAGATTCGACTACATTGTGCGCGTGCTGCGCACTTTTTGCAGATCTTTCATGAAGCACATCCGGTAAATGTGTTTTTTTATTTGACAATAATACCGGTATAGATGCTTTTAAATCTGTGCGTGGTGTAGCGCAAATTACGTCAGGAGTGCATGCCAGAATAATAGTTTAATTTTTAGAAATTCTTGTTTTCCAAAGGCGAAAAATGTAACCAGCAAATAAGAAGTCCTGCCTTTAATGCATTACTTACGGAATATCAGGTGAAAATAGGAATGAGAAGAGCTGCTTAGATTGACATTAATTTCGGTTTAATATGCACAAAGCTGTCTGACAGCTGCTGCGAGCTAGCTATAATGCTATCTAGTATAAGGATAACATTACAAGAGAGACATTCATTGTAACGTTGTTATGCGACATTGTTACTAGCTAGCTATTCCCTGCATAGACCAATCTACAATGTAACAGGGACTTGTTTTGCTGCTGGTTGTTGGCTACTTTGTTGCAGCAGGCTTTGACAAACATTCCACTGATCAAATATAATTCGTATTTCCTAAGCTCTCTTTGAACAGTGAGGGAGGTTCAAAGAATACAAATTCAATTGACAAACGTTGTTTCAGTTTTAACTAATGGCAAAGAAAGAATGTGTTGCACAATGCAAAAACGAATCCTCAATGCTACGAAATCGGAGAGGCCAGATGAATACAGGGGAGCAGTGCCCTGTTTCAACCCATCATGAGTCGACCCAGGAGGAGAATACAGAGGATGATAGACTGTCTGAAGGTGACAGCCAATCCTTAAATGGGACATCAGCACAACATGACCAGGACATCTACTCTCCAAATAATGAGGCACAAAGCACAGTTTACTTTCTGTTGGTGGTGTTGCTCTCTTTTTCCACACGCCTTTACAAAATCATGGAACCCCCTCATGTATGGTGAGTAATGGTGCCCCAAGAGAAGTTGTAAGGATCCCTCATGAAGTCACCTTGTGTTTATGTATAATCTCATTGTGTGATCCTATCTGTTTTAGCTGGGATGAAACCCACTTTGGGAAAATGGGGAGCTACTACATCAACAGGACCTTCTTCTTTGATGTCCACCCACCACTTGGAAAAGTAAGAAAATGCCACTACCTTTTGCATTCTAAACATTCTTAGAATATCTCTTTCTACAGTCCTCATTACTTCCATAACTTGATAAGTATCTTGATTCTTGCTTTGCACAATGTGTATGTGTTTAAAAAAAACAAAAAACTTTCCCTCTATGCCAGATGCTGATCGGGCTAGCTGGGTACATGACTGGCTACGACGGCACCTACCCGTTCCTTAAACCTGGGGACAAATATGAGCACCACAACTACTGGGGGATGAGAGGGGTAAGGCCTACACAAACAGAGAAAGGTTTTTATATTGTGTGAGTAATGTCATGCCCCACAGTACTAGTTTGACCTGTGAACTTGCTCTGCCTCGCTGCAGTTCTGTGCATCTCTGGGCTCCTGCCTGCCCCCCTTTGCCTACCTCACAGTGCTGGAGTTGTCCCAGTCCCCAACAGCTGCCCTCATCACTGCTGCAATGCTGGCCTTTGGTGAGTATCTGCCACCAGCACTAACAAAGTAACAAGAGACAGCCTGGGGGAGAGTTTGGTTCTACTTTAGCCAATTACCTTGCCAAACAGACTTGAGTATGGACTGGTCAACCATTCTTTTCATGTTATCAATGTGGTGTTACAGGATTCTCAGTGAAGTTTAAAATGTGTATTGTGTTAGATCACCCTAATCGAAATAACTTGTACCTCGGGCTGTTTCCCTCCCATTCAGACACTGGCTGCATCACCATCTCCCAGTACATCCTTCTTGACCCCATCCTCATGTTCTTTATAATGGGAGCAGTGCTCAGCATGGTCAAGTTCAATCTACAGAGATATAGGTAAGGAACCTCCAGAGCAGAGCAAACCTACATCTGAATTGTCAGTCAAGTTATTAGAATCAGATTAAAAGCACTTGTTATTGACCAACTTCATACATACAGTGATGCTGCTATGCTCTCTCTTATGGTGTTCAGGCCCTTTAGCGCACCCTGGTGGTTCTGGCTGGTACTGACAGGGGTAAACCTGTCTGGGGCTCTGGGGGTTAAGTTTGTGGGGCTGTTTGTCATCCTGCTGGTGGGACTGAACACAGCCTGGGACCTGTGGAGTTTGCTGGGGGACCTGCACCTCTCTCTGGTACTCATCAAATTATTATGATTCACCTATAATATTGACATACCTACACTGACTTACATTGGAGGCCAACACTGACTCCTGCTCCATTTCCTTCGTTCTACCAGATGGATTTTGGGAAGCACTTGTTGTCCCGGGTGTTTGGGCTTATCCTGCTTCCTCTGTTCCTGTATGTTACAATATTTGCAGTCCACTTTGTTGTCCTGAACAAAAGGTAAGGTGATTATTGGCTGTGCATTTGTTATAGTGTGGTTATTGGAAAGCTTTCAATTGTTTCTCACCTAAATAATATGTAATCACATTTACACAATGTGTTTCCATTGTCCCCTGTCTCCAGTGGTCCAGGAGATGGCTTCTTTAGCTCTGCTTTTCAGTCCCGTCTGATTGGAAACAACCTACACAATGCATCCATGCCTGAGTGTGAGTTGATTTAAACAGCATCTTCTACGTTTTTGTTTTGTTTTTGTCTTTACAATAGTGGTGCTTTTACAGTATATTTCCACTGTAATGTCCTAAGTAACCCCCAGCTTCTAATAATGCTGGTCTGTCCTCCTTGTTCTACTATTCTACTATGATGATGGTCTGTGCTCTCCTTCCTCCTACAGACCTGGCATATGGATCAATCATCACTGTGAAGAACCTACGCATCGCTGGAGGATACCTCCACTCTCACTGGCATCTGTACCCAGAAGGAGTAGGAGCAAAGCAGCAGCAGGTCACAGCATACCTCCATAAGGACTATAACAATCTGTGGCTGGTGCAAAGACCCAATGACAGTGATGGTGAGAGGACAGCCTTGTTGTGCAGTCAGAATATGTCACTCATAAAGGTTAATTGCAACAGACGTTTTATACGTATTATGATGTATTTTGTGTTCTTTTTTTTGTCCAGCACAATCAGGAGAACCTGACCTTGTTCGTCATGGTGACATTATTCGATTGGAGCACAAAGAGTAAGTGTCACCCTCCTGGTTTGACAGTGACACCCTCATCTGTTTGAAAGTTTATCATTGTACTGCTCCCATACAGTACCTGTTTACATGTTGACTTTACAACAAATTCTTCAGTGCAATAATGGTTGATTCTCCTGTGTCCACCAGGACTACCCGTAACCTTCACAGTCATCTCCACGAGGCACCTCTCACTAAGAAACACTTCCAGGTCACAGGATATGGCATCGTGAGTAAGCACATACAATGCTTGCACAGTTCTCAGAAGTTATTGATAGGTTTCCTGTGAGAGAGGTTTCATCCTTCAGCCTAAATGTTGATCAGTATCATTCCTTCCCGGTGCTTTCAGAATGGAACAGGTGACCCTAATGACCTGTGGCAGGTGGAGGTGTGTGGGGGTCGGAAGGGCGACCTGGTCAAGGTGTTACGCAGCAAAGTACGCTTCCTGCACCGAGCAACTGGCTGTGTGCTCTACTCCTCCGGCAAGACTCTCCCCAAATGGTAAGAAATGGAGGAGTGATCTAGACTCTTCTAAAGTTCTCTCTTATATCTTTATTTACAAATGTTAACATTACCGATGATGACCGTATCAAACTGTGTCTTCTCTGTTCAGGGGCTGGGAACAGGTGGAGGTTACGTGTAGCCCATATCTGAAGGAGACCCCAAACTCTCAATGGAATATTGAGGATCATATCAATACCAAATGTACAGTTCCATTCCTGTCTTTTCCCTTTTTTGAATTGTGTTCCCATGGCCCACAGCTTGATATGTGATGGTGTTGTGTGTTTACTTAATACCTAACGGTGTGTGTTTTGATAGTGCCCAACATTAGCCTTTCAGTGCTGAAGCCCCACTTCCTGGAGATATTGCTGGAGTCCCACATCGTTATGATCAGGGTGAGAGAACAAGATAACACACATCTCACTGTGTGCCAAATTCTCCCACATACTTATTGTATTGATTACAACTAAACGTGTCTCTTTTTACAGGGTAACAGTGGGTTGAAGCCCAAAGACAATGAAATGAACTCTAAACCCTGGCACTGGCCAATCAACTACCAGGTTTGCATGTTGAATACCTCATGGCTTCAATGTGGTTGGACAGTCCCAAAAATGAAATAGTCACTTATTACTGTGCCTTTGTTCTGTTTTTGCAAAGGGATTGAGGTTCTCTGGAGTGAATGAGACTGAGTACCGTGTCTACCTGTTAGGGAACCCTGTAAGTACCTCTCTCCACTCACTGAGTATGCTAACACAACACTGCTACAATATAGCTAAATCTACCTCCTCTGCAGGTGATCTGGTGGCTGAACCTGCTTAGTCTGGGCCTGTATGTGGTTATGGTGGCAGCGGCCTCTATAGCCCTCCGCAGAGGAGTCCAGCTAGACAAGAGAAGAACAGGTAAGAGGATTTAGAACTTCCCTGTCACTGTCATGAGTAACTAGTTTGAGTACTTGATTTGAACACTGATGTGTATGTTTGTGTGCAGAGCATTGTCGCGTGCTGATGGAAGGTGGAGGGCTGCTGCTCCTGGGCTGGTTGCTGCACTACGTACCCTTCTACACCATGGGCCGCATCCTCTACTACCACCACTACTTCCCTGCCATGCTCTTCAGCAGCATGCTAACAGGTACAGTGGGCCTACCACAAACACATGCTCCCCATAATGCCCTCGTCATATTGATTGCATGTTACAGACTCATCCAGGAGTCATACATGAAATAACATTGGAGTAGGTCAGGTCCAGTTATATTTATAAAGATCTTGAATTGTCTTCTCTATCTCAGGGATAACTTTGGACACCCTGCTGCAGAGTGCTGACCTGTGGCTCCGCCCACCCTATTCTTACTGGCTGCTTAGAGGAGGACTGGCAATGCTATTCCTGGCCATCCTCTATAGGTGAGATAACCATGAGGCCTCTGTTATATGCCTTTGAGCTTAATTAAATTGTAAAGTTTAAAGTTAAAGTTTTCTGTTAGTGTTATTGCCTACAGTACTGTATGTCATTTGGGCAACAGATAATCTACACCCAAAAATGAATTTTGAAATTCGTTGTTCTCTCTTATCTTCAGCTTACATGTATGTTTCTCTCTATGCCTTTCTAACCCATGCAGCTTTTACATGTTTCACCCTCTGTCCTATGGTATGAGAGGGCCGCTGGCCCATGACCCTGCTAGTACCATGGCTGGCCTGAAGTGGATGGACTCCTGGGAGTTTTAGTCAGTTGAACAGTCAGGAAGAGTTCTGACTGACAGTGATATATATCAGTGGTTTTATTTTTATCAGTGGTGTTTTAGCAGACATGCAAGTGTCTATTTCTTACACACTACGTGAACTTCAGAAATTACAGTATTTTTCATAATGTGCATAGCTATGGATTGTTAAATATTTAACATGAAAGTATTTTATTAGTCAGTTTTATGTCCAGATATTTCAAAGTGTTTTAATTCAACATTGAAAACTGAATATTTGAGTGACTTTCTACACTTGAATTGCGCAGCAGTGTGTTGTGAAACGATATTAAGACCAGAATATACTGTTCACAATCATAGCCTACTATTTTGGTGTTGGGAGATAAAAACTTGATAAATACATTGTGCTTTAGGTGGATGTTGAAATGTAATGAATTATGTGTTTATTTAATTGAGACTGTTAGTGACGGCTAATGATGTCTACTGAACTGCCTTAACATGCGTTTAGTTTTTTCTTGACTGAGTTGCAATAATGAGCTAAGTGCCTAGGGACTAAATCCATTTAAAATACTTTTGAGAATCTAATATTCTAATTAAATGTTTTATGATATGAATGAATTAACCTGTTTCCGTTATTATAATATCAAATTTCCTTTTTCTTTGTTTATCTTGCAAAGTTTGCTCGTTCTTACATTGTGCACAGTATTGTATAAATCTTTGGCAAGATACAGTGCTTTCAATGACTGTCAGTTCTGCATTTTGCTTTCTCAAAGAAAGGGATCTGTTACTTTTCAATACAACTCTCCAAAACAACCTTTTTTACCTGTTGATTGTATATTTTCAAAATGTTACTAGTGCATAATCATTGCCTTTTATTGCTCCTGTGGTGTCCTATATGTGTTAGCAATGTGTGATCTTATTTCATGTGTAGTTATGATGAATAATTTGTTAGTTATTTGTATGTGACAAGTTAACAGACATTATCATCTTTTTACTCCTCAAATACAGAAAAGGAGCACTGAATGTCATGCATATTTTTTTTCTAGATCGAAACAAGCTCTCAAACTCTAGGAGGCATTTAGCCTTCTCCCTACGGTTTTCAGCCATTAGCTTTGCCCACGACTGGCTCATGTGAACTACAATCCCGACGCTGTGTTTTAACGTTTAGAAACGTCAATTATCATTGCTTGCGATACGGCTTTCGAAACATGGCTCTTGTCTTTCATCAGCGAGAAAGAATCCTTCAAATAAAAAAGATACACCTACTGTAGTAGTTTTGCACAGATCAATACAGTTTAGGGGCCGACATCCAACGAAACTACACTTCTGCTACACTTCCCGAGTTACACAGGTGTTCGGAGCATGCTAGATGGCTAATTAGCACAGGTGGTCAGCGCTCTTTTCTTTCTGTTTTCTTTAATCAAGTACTGTAACATGGAGATATGGCCGTGTGGGAACACTAACCCTTTTTTTTCCCCTGATATGAAAGATAAGGTCCTTATGCTTAAAAAAACGTACCGCAAACGACGCATGTTAATGTTCAGATTGAGCGTCCAGGCTCTTAACAAAAGTCCCCCGTACAGAAGTCGCTTTTGTCCAATGACGTGTAATGTAATGAAACTGAGTCATTATCAAGGGCTCGATAGAAACAAGCTGACAATGGTTATTTTTGGAATCCATATTACAGATAGACTATATTGTAGGCTGCTGCCATGTAATCACCCAGAGGTTCATCTATATTTTTTTTCAAGAAATTGAGCATACAGTCACAGATGGAGGTTGGAAAGCTTTTTTTCTTAGAGAATGATTGATCTATAAGGATATATTTGATGCAGTTTGTGATACATATGCCACCTGCTGACAGAAGTTTGCAGTGCAGCTTGCTGCAGACACGTCAATCTGAAGCAGCGTCAACCCATTGGCTGCATTATATCACGTGTGGATCTGAAGATGGCGTCTCCAAATGGAGGTAAATTCTAATTCTTTACTCCGTTGTTGGGTGTATAAATTGACATTTTGATAGCGAGATGGCTATAAAACGTGTATATTTCTTATATCTATTTGCTGAAACATTTTGAGTTGATAAAAGTTTATATTTTGTACAAATAATGCCATACGTTTTTTACCAGGCTTTGCTCACACGTGTTATGTCTGCCAAACCAAAATAACAAGCCAGTTTACATTAGGTAGCTATAGTATCTAACAGTTAACTAGCAAGTTAGCTAGCTACTTGGTAAGAAACAATATATATACAAAAGTATGTGGACACCCCTTAAAAGTAGTGGATTCGGCTATTTCAGCCACACCCGTTGCTGACAGGTGTATAAAATCGAGCACACAGCCATGCATTCTCCATAAACAAACATTGGCAGAATGGCATCACTGAAGAGCTCAGTGATTTTAAACGTGGCAACAACAAGTCAGTTCGTCAAATTTCTGCCCTGCCCTTCTAGAGCTGCCCCGGTCAACTGTAAGTACTGTTATTGTGAAGCGGAAACTAGGAACAACAACGGCTCAGCCGCAAAGTGATAGGCCACACAAGCTCACAAAACGGGACCGCCTAGTGCTGAAGCGCGTAGCACGTAAAAATCTGCTGTCATCGGTTGCAACACTCACTACTGAGTTCCAAGCTGCCTCTGGAAGCAATGTCACCACAATAACTGTTTGTCGGGAGCTTCATTAAATGGGTTTCCATGGCTGAGCAGCCGCACAAAAGCATAAGATCCCAATGCGCAATGCCAAGCGTCGGCTGGAGTGGTGTAAAGCTCGCTGCCATTGGACTCTGGAATGATGAATCACGCTTCAGCATCACAGTCCAATGGACAAATCTGGGTTTGGAGGATGCCAGGCGAACGCTACCTGCCTGAATGCATAGTGCCAACTGTAAAGTTTGGTGGAGGAGGAATAATGGTCTGGGGCAGTTTTTCATGGTTTGGTCCAGGCCCCTTAGTTCACGTGAAGGAAAATCTTAACGCTACAGCATACAATGACATTCTAGATGATTCTGTGCTTCCAACTTTGTGGCAACAGTTTGGGGAAGGCCCTTTCCTGTTTCAGCATGGCAATGCCCCCATGCACAAAGCGAGGGCCATACAGAAGTGGTTTGTCGAGATCAGTGTGGAAGAACGTGACTGGCCTGCACAGAGCCCTGACCTCAGCTAAATGGCATATTATATTATTTATATATTACCTCAACCCCATCGAACACCTTTGGGATGAATTTGAACGCCAAGGCCTAATCGCCCAACATCAGTGCCAGACCACACTAATGCTCTTGTGGCTGAATGCAAGCAAGTCCCCGCAGCAATGTTCCAACATCTAGTGGAAAGCCTTCCCAGAAGAGTGGAGGCTGTTATAGCAGCAAAGGGGGGACCAACTCCATATTAATGCCCATGATTTTGGAATGAGATGTTCGACAAGCAGGTGTCCACATGCTGCCAATAACTATATTTCTAGCTAGCTGTCTAACTATGGTACTAGGTAGCTACTAGCTAGTTACCCAAACAATAGCCTACATGCAAACACACTGTACATTGAGAAGAAAGGATCATGACCCCTTTCATAACATTATTTTCAATTCAAACCCAATCACTAATGACTAGCTAGTACTACTAGCTAGGTACTGTAGATTAGCCCTGTTGATGTAGCTAGCAAGCTCGATGACTTAGTTTGCACAGCACACTTTCATATTTAATACACTTTCATATTTAATAGTGTTCAATCTGTTGATGATGACTAAAATCCCCATTTCCACTTTTTAAGGTGATGATTTTGAGTCATCTCTGCTGAGTTTTGAGAAGCTGGATAGAGCATCTCCTGACCTATGGCCAGAGCAATGTAAGTGTGTCTTCTCTGTGTTAGGCTACATGTCTTTATGAGGATTTCATTACAATTTACTCATTCCTGGTTCTGATTGGTTTGCCTGTTTCATGCTGTCATCCCTCACACAGTGCCAGGAGTCGCAGATTTTGCTGCATCATGCAAAAATGTGAGTGTTTAAAAAAAATAAAAATCTATAGCATTGATAAATGAATTGACCTACATGGCTGAGAGAATGCACATTCTTATTTACATGTTTTGTATTGCAGCCAATTACCAATTCTCCGCCCAAATGGATGGCTGAACTGGAGAGTGAGGACATTGAAATGTTAAAAGGTAAAGTACAGTAGCATCATATGGTACACTGTTGAGCATTGCCTTCCTTTGAAAAGACTGTTTTGACTGACTGTACTCCTACTGTATTCCCCCCACAGAGCTAGGGAGCCTGACCACAGCCAACCTGATGGAGAAGGTCAAAGGGCTACAGAACCTGGCCTACCAGCTGGGCCTTGAGGAGTGTAAGTATTTACCTGAGAAATACACAAATGAACGACACACGCACACACACACACACAACCAGTTGGGGACCACTTATTTGGTCTAGGTTGTCATTCCGTACACTACCTCTAGATGGTGCTGCTAGCCTTATGGCTAATTTATGTCTGAACAGTCAAGGAACATCTCAAGTATTTGGTGATAGTCATTCTACTCATGTATATTTCACGGAACAGACACCCCTTAGTTAGATTAAATGTATTTCTAATCCAATATTTCTGAATATTGTTATTATAAATAAGACATCAATAGATTGTAAATGGAGTGTATATACACTTGAAGTCGGAAGTTTACATACAAATACATTTAAACTCAGTTTTTCACAATTCCTGACATTTAATCCTAGTACAAATTCCCTGTTTTAGGTCAGTTAGGATCACCACTTTATTTTAAGAATGTGAAATTTCAGAATAACAGTAGAGAGAATGATTTATTTAAGATTTGATTTATTTTATCACATTCCCAGTGGGTCAGAAGTTTACATACACTCAATTAGTATTTGGTAGCATTGCCTTTAAATTGTTTAACTTGGGTTAAACGTTTCGGGTAGCCTTCCACAAGCTTCCCACAATAAGTTGGGTGAATTTTGGCCCATTCCTCCTGACAGAGCTGGTGTAAATGAGTCAGGTTTGTAGGCCTCCTTGCTCGCACACGCTTTTTCAATTCTGCCCACAAATATTCTATAGGATTGAGGTCAGGGCTTTGTGATGGCCACTCCAATACCTTGACTTTGTTGTCCTTAAGCCATTTTGCCACAACTTTGGAAGTATGCTTGGGGTCATTGTCCATTTGGAAGACCCATTTGCGACCAAGCTTTAACTTCCTGACTAATGTCTTGAGATGTTGCTTCAATATATCCACATAATTTTCCTTCCTCATGATGCCATCTATTTTGTGAAGTGCACCAGTCCCTCCTGCAGCAAAGCACCCCCACAGCATGATGCTGCCACCCCCGTGCTTCACGGTTGGGACAGTGTTCTTCGGCTTGCAAGCAACCCCCTTTTTCCTCCAAACATAACGATGGTCATTATGGCCGAACAGTTCTATTTTTGTTTCATCAGACCAGAGGACATTTCTCCAAAAAGTACGATCTTTGTCCCCATGTGCAGTTACAAACCGTTGTCTGGCTTTTTTATGCCGGTTTTGGAGCAGTGGCTTCTTCCTTGCTGAGCGGCCTTTCAGGTTATGTCGATATAGGACTTGTTTTACTGTGGATATAGATACTTTTGTACCTGTTTCCTCCAGCATCTTCACAAGGTCCTTTGCTGTTGTTCTGGGATTGATTTGCACTTTTCGCACCAAAGTACGTTCATCTCTAGGAGACAGAACGCGTCTCCTTCCTGAGCGGTATGACGGCTGCGTGGTCCCATGGTGTTTATACTTGGGTACTATTGTTTGTACAGATGAACGTGGTACCTTCAGGCGTTTGGAAATTGCTCCCAAGGATGAACCAGACTTGTGGAGGTCTACAATTTATGTTCTGAGGTCTTGGCTGATTTCTTTTGATTTTCCCCTGATGTCAAGCAAAGAGGCACTGAGTTTGAAGTTAGGCCTTGAAATACATCCACAGGTACACCTCCAATTGACTCAAATGATGTCAATTAGCCTATCAGAAGCTTCTAAAGCCATGACATACTTTTCTGGAATTTTCCAAGCTGTTTAAAGGCACAGTCAACTTAGTGTATGTAAACTTCTGACCCACTGGAATTGTGATACAGTGAATTATAAGTGAAATAATCTGTCAATAAACAATTGCTGGAAAAATTACTTGTGTCATGCACAAAGTAGATGTCCTAACCAACTTGCCAAAAAAGAAATTTGTGGAGTGGTTGAAAAATTAGTTTTAATGACTCCAACCTAACTGTATGTAAACTTCCGACTTCAAATGTATAGATATTATAAAGGCTATCTTGTCTAATCGGGTGTATAAAACAGTTGGAGCACTCCACGTATGAATTCCTTATTTTCATGGTGTTGATTATGGTTTTGTAATTCAGTGTAAAACAACAGCATTTCGAGAGTGCATTTAGAAGCCTGGTGAAGTGGGGGAAGGTCTCGCATAAGTATAACACATCAAGGATTGAAGCATGTGATGGATGCAAAATGTGGTTTGACATATTTTCTGCATCTGTTGTCCTAATCCATAAAATGTGGATTAGAGAGATGTAGCTAAGTGCTCCTATTTTTCCTAAGAGGAAGATGGGTACTTAGCTCACTGTGGACAAAGCACACCATGCACAAACCCAGAAACAGCGATTTGATACAGACTGAAATTATTTCCTCTGAAAATATATGGTTGCTTCCAAAATAAAAGTATTGTAGAATTCTGACTCACTGCATGCTTTTAATGTTGGCTGCACTGTCCTATTCAGTTGTTTGCGCTCTTGTTGTAGAGTAATGCACTCCTTTACAATCAGATTTAAATACAGTGCTATGAAAAAGTATTTGCCCCCTTTCTAATTTTCTCTACTTTTGCATATTTGTGATACTGAATGTTATCAGATCTTCAACCAAAACCTAATATTAGATAAAGGGAACATAAGTGGACAAATAACACAACAATTGCATATTTATTTCATTTATTTCATAAACAAAGTTATGCAACACCCAATTCCCCTGTGTGAAAAAGTAATTGCCCCCTTACACTCAATAACTGGTTGTGCCCCTTTAGCTGCAATGACTCCAACCAAATGCTTCCTGTAGTTGTTGATCAGTCTCTCACGTCGCTGTGGTGGAATTTTGGCCCACTCTTCCATGCAGAACTGCTTTAACTCAGTGACGTGTGGGTTTTCAAACATTAACTGCTCGTTTCAAGTCCTGCCACAACATCTCAATTGGGATTGGGTCTGGACTTTGACTAGGCCATTCCAAAACTTCCAATTTGCTGCTTTTTAGCAATTTTCATGTAGACTTGATTGTGTGTTTTGGATCATTGTCTTGCTGCATGACCCAGCTGCGCTTCAGCTTCAGCTCACAGACGGATGGTCTGACATTCTCCTGTAGAATTCTCTGATACAGAGCAGAATTCATGGTTCCTTCTATTAAGGCAAGTCGTCCAGGTCCTGAGGCAGCAAAGCATCCCCAAACCACCACACCACCACCACCATGCTTGTCCTTTGGTATGATGTTCTTACTGTGGAATGCAGTGTTTGGTTTTCGCCAGGCATAATGGGACCCATCTCGTCCAAAATGTTGACTCAAGTTTGCCAAAAAGCACCTGGATGATCATCAAGACTCTTGGAAGAACGTTCTATGGACAGATGATTCAAAAGTATAACTTTTTGGATGACATGGTTCCAGTAATGCCTGGCAAAAACCAAACTCTGCATTCCACAGTAAGAACATCATACCAAAGGTCAAGAATGGTGGTGTGATGGTTTGGGGATGCTTTGTTGCCTCAGGACCTGGACGACTTGCCTTAATAGAAGGAACCATGAATTCTGCTCAGTATCAGAGAATTCTACAGGAGAATGTCAGACCATCCGTCTGTGAGCTGAAGCTGAAGCGCAGCTGGGTCATGCAGCAAGACAATGATCCAAAACACACAATCAAGTCTACATGAAAATTGCTAAAAAGCAGCAAATTTGAAGTTTTGGAATGGCCTAGTCAAAGTCCAGACCCAATCCCAATTGAGATGTTGTGGCAGGACTTGAAACGAGCAGTTAATGTTTGAAAACCCACACGTCACTGAGTTAAAGCAGTTCTGCATGGAAGAGTGGGCCAAAATTCCACCACAGCGACGTGAGAGACTGATCAACAACTACAGGAAGCATTTGGTTGGAGTCATTGCAGCTAAAGGGGCACAACCAGTTATTGAGTGTAAGGGGGCAATTACTTTTTCACACAGGGGAATTGGGTGTTGCATAACTTTGTTTATGAAATAAATATGTAATTGTTGTGTTATTTGTTCACTTATGTTCCCTTTATCTAATATCAGGTTTTGGTTGAAGATCTGATAACATTCAGTATCACAAATATGCAAAAGTAGAGAACTAGAAAGGGGGCAAATACGTTTTCATAGCACTGAGAGATGTACAGTGGGGGAAAAAAGTATTTAGTCAGCCACCAATTGTGCAAGTTCTCCCACTTAAAAAGATGAGAGAGGCCTGTAATTTTCATCATAGGTACAAGTCAACTATGACAGACAAATTGAGAAAAAAAATCCAGAAAATCACATTGTAGGATTTTTTATGAATTTATTTGCAAATTATGGTGGAAAATAAGTATTTGGTCACCTACAAACAAGCAAGATTTCTGGCTCTCACAGACCTGTAACTTCTTCTTTAAGAGGCTGCTCTTCTTTAAGAGGCTGCTCTGTCCTCCACTCGTTACCTGTATTAATGGCACCTGTTTGAACTTGTTATCAGTATAAAAGACACCTGTCCACAACCTCAAACAGTCACACTCCAAACTCCACTATGGCCAAGACCAAAGAGCTGTCAAAGGACACCAGAAACAAAATTGTAGACCTGCACCAGGCTGGGAAGACTGAATCTGCAATAGGTAAGCAGCTTGGTTTGAATAAATCAACTGTGGGAGCAATTATTAGGAAATGGAAGACATACAAGACCACTGATAATCTCCCTCGATCTGGGGCTCCACGCAAGATCTCACCCCGTGGGGTCAAAATGATCACAAGAACGGTGGGCAAAAATCCCAGAACCACACGGGGGGACCTAGTGAATGACCTGCAGAGAGCTGGGACCAAAGTAACAAAGCCTACCATCAGTAACACACTACGCCGCCAGGGACACAAATCCTGCAGTGCCAGACGTGTCCCCCTGCTTAAGCCAGTACATGTCCAGGCCTGTCTGAAGTTTGCTAGAGTGCATTTGGATGATCCAGAAGAGGATTGGGAGAATGTCATATGGTCAGATGAAACCAAAATAGAACTTTTTGGTAAAAACTCAACTCGTCGTGTTTGGAGGACAAAGAATGCTGAGTTGCATCCAAAGAACACCATACCTACTGTGAAGCATGGGGGTGGAAACATCCTGCTTTGGGGATGTTTTTCTGCAAAGGGACCAGGACGACTGATCCGTGTAAAGG